AGCCGAAAGGGATAGGCGTTAGCAGTTAATAGCCCGTTATTACTCTATACCCTCTACTATATCGAGGTTATAGCGACGTACCCTAACGTATATGCCGTCTTGCCTATACCTACGTCTATACCGCCGATATAGAAGTCCGCGCTAGTAACGGAAGCTAGAAGCGTCTAGGTAATTATATAGAATTAGTAAGACTTTAACGGACGAGTCGATCTCTAATTAGGCGGAATAACGCCTATACGCGGCGAAGTCTAAAAGGGATCGAGTAGTCTAAAATCGCATATTAACTTAAAGTTCTTAGCGTCGAGATAGGAGTATACGTTACTAGATAACTGCTTCTCGACGTCGGTTTCTATATCTAAATCTATCGACTAGCTAGGTATCGCCGACGAGATCTAATCGACAAAATCTACTAACGTCTAGATTAGTAGAGGGTCGGCTTAGACTTCTACTTACGTACCCGGTAGTCGTACGGCGAGTTTAGGCTTATTCGGATCTAGTAGCGATACGATCTAACTCGGTAACGACTCGATCTATTTCTAGCGAATTCGATCTCGCTTCGAGTCGATTATATCTCCGGCCTTCTTACTATTAGTATTGTCGGCTTTGCTTAGATTAATTTTTCTATTATCCTTAGTATTATTACTAGCATTTGTCTACGCCGGAGGTTATGCTAGGGATAGTGCTAGTCTATTTAAAGCGTACTATATCTTAGGCAGAGTAGAAGCAATATAGGTCTTTACCGTATACTCTATCGTATCGGGCTATACGGAACGGACGGCCGTTCGAACCGAATCGTCGAAGGCGACTAGAAGTAAAGCAGTGTTCCTATTATAACCGTTGTCGCGGAGCACCTCCTTAACTACCTTGTCGATAGCCTACTAAATCGCTATTATATCCGCGGCGATATCGGCTATAGCTTTTCGCGCGGCTACCTACCGAGCTGCCTCCTACTCTTCCTATAACCTCCGGAATCTATCTGCGATAAGCTATTTATAGCGCTCGCGATCGGCGCGATCCTTACGAGCGAGTCGGTCGTCCTTAGCTTACTTAATAGCCGATTTCGTAGGCGACTACGGACTCTAACCGACATTGATTTCGGTAGGATTACCGGCTATAGAAGTACCGTACTAAGTTAGGTCGATAGTTCTAGAAGCCTTAAGTAGGGACGGTCGACGATATATAGAAGGTATCCTAGTATAGTCCGTTATATTTTTACCGACGAGGAAATCGAGTCTAGTAGAAATCCTAGTATCTAAGCTATTATATATCTCTATAGCTAGGGAGTAGAATATCGGATTAGTCTTGTATTTAGAAAGACCTTTAGGGCCGCGAGCTAGATCGATTACTACGAAGAATTCGTACTTCTACTATTCGGGCGACAGTAATAACTCTCGTACAAGCTAGAGCCGCAACAAATCCTTTGCACTAATATTATTAGAAGTCTTCGATTGCAGGATAGACTAATTTAGGCTAAACACGTCGTAGTCTGCCGTTAAAGGTAACCGCTAGTCGACAATACTAAACTATAACGTAATCTTAGCCCGGTCCGGCTTAATAGGGCGTAGCGCGTCGGACATTACTAGATTAGTATCCTTGCTACTATGCGAATCTCCTAGCGTTATTCTCTTAAATACCCGACCGGCTCTACTAGTCTTACTAGTAGAGGCAGAACTTGCTCTACGCTTAGGTATAGAGGGCGTAGTTTATCGGGATCTATTAGTCTCGCTCTCGGATACGTCTTCCTCTTTAGTATTATTACCGGCCGGCGGGGTGAACTTATCCCTTATAACCTTCTATATAAGGCGGTATACTAAGTAGACTATAGACCTCTAAATTTTATTATTCGGACTATTTGCATTGTCCTACGGAAGTATTCCCCTAACATACTACTTCGGAGCCTGTTTAGGATCTTTAAAGTACTATTCGGGCATTAATAGCGCACGTCTAGGTTTAGTAGGATAGTTAAGGTTGCTAGCAATAGCGTACACTATAGCTTTCTCCTCCTTATAATACCCCTTAACGGGCTAGCGACTCTACTTCCCCTTTAACTAGTTAAATAAAAAATGTTTCTCTAGATACGGAAGGAGCCTTTTTATTACTAACGTAAGAAGAGGCTTATCGATGCTATATAGGTTTAGTATAACATATTTAGGGACGTCTTTGCCGCTATTTAAGGCTTTAATTAGTAGCTTGTTATCCTTTAGCTAGTCCTCGACATTCGTAGAGACTACTATCTCGGTAAAGGTAGTAGGCGACGAGTTTGTAACTAGTATATAGCATTAGCATATAACAGGTTATACTAATTAGTAATACTTATATAACAGAGGTTAGGGACTATAGATCGACAACGACGTACACTATCCGAGAGTAGCAGATAAACTAATAGAGTTAGTAAAATTCGCTATACGTTAGGGTCGGCGGAGGTAAGAATAGGAGCAGAGAGCTACTTATACCTGCCGACCCTAACGCGAGCCGTTAGAGTTGCGTTATATAACGAGTGTCTATATATACTAGCTTAACGCTAGTCGAGTACGACGGCCAAGTTATATAGTGCGGCCTATATACGAGTTAGAATAGGGCATTAGCGAAGGAAATAATATACTATACGTACGATAGGGAGGGTAAGGGGGTATATATATAGAACAGGTATATTAGTACGAGTTAATAGTAAATATTAAAGAAGGCAGTAATAAGGAAAGGTAACGACCTTAAATGCCTGCCTCGTAACCGGGTCGGTTAGCGAGTCGGGCCTAACTAACTAATAAATCGACGAAGTGAGGCATCTAGCGCTTAAGTATATAATAGTTTAGTTACGCAACTAGTAACCGAAGTAATAAGGCTGCAGATAATCGTTATAGTATAAACCCCTATACGATAGACGGTTCTAGATATAGGACTAATAAGTCGTAGTAAACATAGTACTACGTAATAAGTAATCGAAAGTTAGTAAAGTAAATATAAGCCTATCTATAGTAGAGTTGCGACTGCGATCGCCGGCGCGAGACGCGAGTACTTATAAGCTACGCAATATAGCTAAATTAACCGATCTATATCCTTATAGTAACTAACAATTATTATACGATAGCGGGTAGACTAGACCCGCTATAGTACGAGGGTATAGGCTAGTAAGGCGGTTAGTCTTAGGACCCGAGAGTAGGGTATATAGATAGTTCGAGCTAACGATTAAGATAGTATGTTTTCTATAGATGCTACTAACTCTATCGGCGGCGAAAAGGCATGTGTTTAGCTACAACGAGTAGCAAACAAAGGTATAAAACGATCGAAATATTCTATAGATCGTATACTAGAGTAGTAGTCTGCGTAGAAGGCCGAATAAACGACTATATATAAATCCGCGGCAACATGATATACTAGGCGTAAGGTTAAGAAGCGAGATAATAGATAACGTAATTTGCCGAACCCGCTACCGAAGTTAGTAATAGAGGATATAGAAGTTGCCTAGTAGGCTTAGTACCCGATTCGATACCGAATTAGGGCCCGAGTCGGCATTAGCAAACCCCGCGACTAGAGTAGTTCTAGTTTCTACTACTAACTAACGTCGACTTTCTACTACGCTATATATATAACTACCGCCTTCGAGAATGCTACGTACTTAACTACCTCGCGATTAATATTCAATAGGCGGTGTTACCCGCGGCCTTAGCCTATCGCCGTCGATATACTACGCATTTTACGCTAGCGTCGAGAGGTTAATTTAGGAGTCTAGTTAGATTAGCAGCACGTTCTAATTACTATTATTACCGGAACGCCGAAGGACGCAAGGTTACCTATACGACCTAGTATTAACAGACGAGAAATACGAAGAAGAGTTCCCTAAGGTAGTAAAGCAGATCCGTACGGTAGAGGGATAGACTACGTTTAGGTGCCTAGTATATAAGATTTGTTCTAATTATCGCCGACAGACGAGACGAAAAACGGTGCGCGTAACAACGCGTAGAGTCGGCGATACTAGCGATTGCGCGGAAATTGCTATATCTACGGATACTAGACTAGCGACACTAGAAGGATCTAGAGCGGTGCCGCCGTACCGCGTACTAAATAATGTATAGCAGAGCATAGTTATAGTATAAGAGCAGAACGGGAAGGTAAAACCTATATATCGACTATATAAACTCGATTATCGCTAGCCTATAGTTAGAGGCCGCGCGTTAGTAGGAGTCGATAATATAGACCTCGAACGATTAGTTAAGATGCTGCGGGTAGATTGTAGTTTCGAAGCCGGCGTCGACGCCTTATATTAGATAAGCGACTAATATAGACACGTTCGAATTAATAACGAGCGATAGTAGAGGGCTAGTCTATCCGATATATTAGGCAGAGGCCTACAGCTGCGATTTGCAATCTATAGGCAAATTAAGGAGGCAGAACGAGCGTAAATGTAAACGTAGAAAAGCAAGATAAATAATTAATTTCACTAAGTCCGATATAGAAGTCCTACTCTAACAGTAATAGGCACTAATCTATTTATTAAACGGAAGGCAAGATGCCCCGACTACGATAAGCACTACGCTTTGATCTTAGATATATACTAATATATAGTAAGTATATTACGTATAGTAGTCTTAAGCGCCGCGATCTCTTCCTTTATCTATTTAATCTTAGCCTATATTTAAGCACCCTAATCGCGCTATAGCGATAGCGGACTCGGGGTAGCGCGATAGTTAAGGAAAGGCTAAATCGGCTACAACTAGCAGTCGTCGTACTAAGGTAGATTGCATACCTCTAGCTAATCTAGTTAGAATTGCATCTATCGAGTATAGGGTCTCTATAGTATTATTAACCTCGGATTAGCTAAATACGCCGATAGAGATAGTTCTAACTAACCCGTAATACTACGAGGCGGCTTCGAAGGTATATATTCGACCTAGCGGATTAGCTAACGCCGATTGATTTACCGATAAAGAACATATATCTATATATACCGTAGTAGCGACTGAGCGAGGAATAAATAGTCTAAATGCGCCGATTGCTTTAGTACAATGTCGATAGTGTTGCTATATGCCGTTAGTATAGACTATAATAATTACCGCTAGACTAATAATAGCGCTAGATTAATAGTTCCCGAATCCGACTCGCAACCGAATCGGGCTAGCGTCGATAAGGTACGAAAATAGCGAATAGTCTATAGGCTACGATTATGCTTTAGCGTTAGCGGGGCATATCCGATAGGACTAATAAGCGATTATAGACGGCGACTCGGGCAGTCTATATAGGAGCAGAAGATGAAACCGCAATTTAATACCCCCCTTTTCGTAGGGTAAACAAGCACGAAGACGCGTATAGTCTAATATATACTACGTTAGATTCGTAACAATACTACTACTCGTTATAGTATACTTAGGATAGGTCGCAACTACGAAGAAGATAAATATAGAACTAAGTCGTTATCTAACTCGACAGAGTCGGATAGGGATACTAGATTCGAAGAAGAAAATAGGGAGGATACTCGTTTATATATAGCGACTAGTATTAGATCGAAATTCATAAAGGTAACGTATACTAGAGCACGGTAATAGAGGACTAACGTAACTAGTATAAGGGCAAGAATAGCAAAGATCCGGTAAGGCTAAAACAGAAGTACGGCGACGATAGGGCGGATTAGAGCGACGATATAAAGCTATTAAAACGACGTAAGAAGCGAGACAAAGGCTTAACGACTTCTAGTAAAGAACGTTTAAATCGAAAGAAGGGCTTACTCGAAGCAAGGGAGCAAATCTTGTATAACGAGACGCGTCGTAAACTATTCGCTATTACGTTAACTAGGGCCCGAGGATATAAGACGATGTTTCCTACTACCTAAACCTTAGTATAGGTAGACGAAACAATTAAGGAGGTATATAGTGAAAACTACGATCGATTACTAGCTTTACGTACAATAGTACTATAGCCGGGTAGCTATATACCGTCGAGAGACGTAGTCTAAGCAGTCGGTAGAGATCCCGATATAATAGCATCGAGACTAATATTAGAATAGTTGCGAGAAGCTATACGAAAGGAGCGAGGCTATATTAATACCTATATCCGATTAACCTTAACAAACTAAGTACCGATCGCAATAACCGACACTCTAAAAAGGATAGTATACGCTAAGAGGATGCTCGACAACTAAATCTTCGAGTACTACGACGAGAAACTAGTAAGACCCTCTCTAAAATAGTATAGTTACTAGATAATAGCTAACGGTCGACATATACTACGCGCTACCTTAGTAAGCTTATATACAAATGTCTAGCGGGTATGCTACTCCGGCAGGATCGGCGAGGCTAGAAGACATATATTAAATAGTACTACTACAAAGTCACCCCTTTTATAATATTGTCTACCGCTACGGTACTCGGTAGAATACTAACCGGATAGTCGATAGAGTCGCATTTAACTAAAGTTAGAGGTAAAGCGATCTAGCTAGCCCTAGATTATAAGTTAATGCACTAGCCGTTCCTAGATCGGATAACTACGTAGAATGCGACGGATTAAGCTACTCGTAACCTTCGGTTGTCGAAAGCGTAGAAGATATACGTACGGTATATAGGTAGAGTATAGGATACCCCTAAATTATTAATAAATAACTTCGAGAGCGTACGTAACGATATCGATATACTTATAGTAATCGACGTCGTTTTAGATTCCGACGATAAAGGCGGATCGATCGAGCGCTATAGTAAGAGTAGTCTACGAGCGCCGTATTTCTCTTACCTACTAATATAATCGATAGGTCCTAAAGCGTCTACCGGGCAACAATTAAGTAAACAACTCAAAGCTAGCGACAATGCGATAGATAGGTTAGCGGAGGCGGAGGCCCTACCTAAGAAAAACGATGTTAGACTACCTATACTATAGAGCAGTTTCTAAGCGACAGATTAGGAGCCGACGGGGGCTACTAATCCGTTTACTTCGGTATAGGGAGGCAACGGCACAAGTATAACCGAGACAATAGAATATAATAGAACCGAAGACAATTAATACTAAAGGTATAGATATACCGCAGTAATAGCAATAGGGAAGGATTACGCGCTAATTACTATAAGAATAGTAGGTATTCCGACTAGTCTTATATAATAGATAAGACTTTATTCGCGGCGGTAAGTAATCGCGTTAGGGATGTATTAGGGCTAGAAGAGGGGGAGTAGATATAGTAGGCGGATATAGAGGCGGACGGCGGCAAAGTTAAGGAGATAGTATTTAACGAGGAGACGTAGGATCGAAGAATTAGGAGATATATAGTAAAAGAGAAGAAGAAGTCGAAAGGAAACAAACGAAAGAAGGTAGAGGTATATCGCTTTAATATAGCCGTAGAGGACGGATAGAATACATTCTTGTTAACCGTAATAAATAGATACTCTATATAATATAACGAAATCTATTAATACTATACGAGTCGGTCGCTAAGTCGGTACTAACTTAGTGTACGTAGTAGACGTATACAAATGCTAGTAGTTACCCGAGTATACGTATAAACGTTAGATGTTAGTAGAAGCAACAATCGTATAATATACAGATCCGATAGAAAATATAATTCAAATGCTAGTACTAGTATATACGACGACTTAAGCCCGACTCGATATACGAGTCGGACGGTAAAGAATAAAATTCTTACTACGAATAGATTTGCTAGAATTTCTAGATCGCGACGATCCTGTTAGACAAGATCTTTAACGTGCGATCCTAAGGATCCTAAGCGATCCTATCGATAGGATCGTCGCGATCGGTAAAAAAGTTTCCGTAACGTATCTCGTCTCTTTAACTATACTCGATCTACTCCTAGCGCTTATCGTCTATAGCGTTAGACCCTAAGACTATACCTATTACTAGATCGACGTATAGTATCTCCTCGCTTTTTTTAGTTCCTTTATTTGTAGTATTAAGCTCTATCGCGGCATCCTAAACTCTAGTATTATTGTTCTCGGCTATCTAAACATCTCCGTTACTATCGGTCGTATCGATAGAGGTAGCGGCTATAGGTCTAAATACTATTAGTTAACGTGTTAAAGAAAAATATGCCGGCTATAGCTACTAGCTACGGCTGCCGGCTATAGCTGCTAGCTACGGCCGCTAGCTAGATTAACTTACGCTACTAGAACTTTATACTCGAAAACTAGCTGTAATTCTTTCCTCCTCTTAGCCTTCTCTTAGGTTGTCTTCTTATTCTAACCTTTACTTTTTTCTATAGGCGCTAGCTATCGATAGAATGCCTTATTCTACGCCTTTCTTCTCTTATCCTTAGCTTTTTTATCCTTATTTATCTTATCCTTTCTCTCGCGGTCTCGTACGGAATTCTTCTTCGTAGAATACTCCTTTTTAGTCTTATACTTTTTAGTTAGACGCTTAGGCAAAACAAACTCGCGGTCTTTAATTCTATCTTCTATTTAGCGCGCGGCGCGCTTCTCTCTTACTATTATAAGGGAAAGGGGCGGGGGCGTAGCGTATAGTAGTTATTGTCGGTATAGGTATAGAGGAAGAAGTTGAAAGTATAAGAATATCGCGAAGCCCTAATTGTTGCCGCCTATATAACGTTATATAGGTAAGCTTTCGCAACTACGGCAACTACGCCCTAGTAATAGTAACTACGCCCTAGCAACGGCAACTACGCCCTAGCAACGGCAACTACGCCCTAGTAACGGTAATAAAGCGTAGTAAATACAACCTAGTAACTATTATAGCCGGCAATCGTAGCCGGTAGTCGAATAAGAGTGTCCTTATAGCAAAACTACGCCCTAGTAACGGCAACTACGCCCTAGCAACGATAACTACGCCCTAGCAACGGTAAAAGAGCGTAGTAAATGTAACAGAGTTACTATTATAGCCGGCAATCGTAGCCGGCAGTCGAATAAGAGTGTCCTTATAGTAAAACTAATACAGTCTCTAGTTTAAACTAGGAATCTATATAGTTCGAAAAAACCAAACCGGAACTAGGGAGCTAGTTCGCCGCTAAGAAACCAAACTATATACGTTTAGTAGTTCGGAAACCGAACTACTACGGGGTCTATTCTCGGGGAAGTGTCGTAGGAAGGTCTCTTTAGCGTATCGTTAATAGAGATATATTATTATTGCCTTCTCTTCGAATACTAGTCGGATAGCGCGTTGTTCTTAAGCTAAGTCGTTAGTTATAGCTACTGTTAGCTTCTAGCCGGGGGCCTATTTCTTTAAGACTTAAAGCCTAGCTTTAATTAGCCTTACTCGCTAGCTTTGTAGCAATAGATGCCCCTCTAGTATCTAGGAGCCGAAGGCGTTACGGATATAGACTATAAATAGGTAGAAGTTATTGTCGGACGTTTTATAGGTCGCGTCGAAGAGAAATAGCTATATACAGACAGTTAGTCGTTACTATAGATATTAAAGTATTAGGAAAGCTTACGTTACTAGTAACGCTACTATTTAGCAACTCGCGCTGCTAGTCGGCCTACTATATAATACCCTTATAATAGAAGGTATCTATACGGACAGACAGAGCCTCGTAGGAAAGTCCTACGCCTGTTATATCGTCTATAAGAGGGCTAAGATAACGATTAAGGTTATTAAGCTATAGTCGAATATTACCCTTCTTAGCGTAGGACGCCCTCTTTAGATTCTTCCTTATAGACTACTTTACAACACCTTTCTTTATACGGTGCGCTCTAATAACAGCAAGACGACCTGCATTAGTACCCTCCTTTAATAGGTAGAATATATAAGCCGTTTTATAGTTATACTAATCTATTAAGTGTTCGATAACAACCCGGAGGCCGTCGCTAGAAGCCCTTATATCCTAGACTAGTTAGCTTCGCAATACGACTTAATCTACTATATTAACCTTACTATATAGTCTATCGTATAACTATAGATATTATTATTACTATACGCTAAGTCGCGGCCTCCTCGAGCGATCTTATAGCTACGAGGCTCCTTGTCCGCCTTCCGATCGAATACCGTAATTATAGCTATCGACGCGTCGTATAGGTCCTTATAAAACTCTACCTTATAGATACTAATACCTAGCTCTCGATTGCGATTAAAGTTACGCCGATAACGATAGTAGTATATCGTCCGCTGCGACATTCCGTCCTTATAGCGAGCGCCCTCGTATTTCTCCTAGAAATTAGTTACAAAAGGCTACGCCTGTTTAAACTAGTCCTTCGGTATAAAGGAGCCTTAAGACGACGGACTAAATAGCGAATAACGCAGTTAATAGGTTATAGAAATAGAGATAAGATAAGCTATATTAAAGAGCTAGTTTTAAAGAGCTAGTATTAAAGAGCTAGTATTAAAGAGCTAGTATTAAAGAGCTAGTATTAAAGAGCTAGAGTCAATAAGTATTGCAATAGAGCCTATAATACCTCCTATAATACCTCCTATTATATAGAAAATAGCCCCTATACTATTAGGTTTCGACGATATAAAGTTATAGATCCTAGCGTCTCCGGAATGCCTGGTTTAGCTAGCAATATCGATACTTCTTAGATACGGTTATCTACGAAGGAATGCCTCGGAAATTAATTATAGGCCTAATCGGCCGGGCACTAAAATCTTCTAACAACTGCTTACAATTTTAAGAAACGCAAAGCCCTCTAAGCTTTAGGACTTACTACGAAGGCGAAAAGCTTGCCGGGAATCTAAAGCTTATTAAGCGAGTTAAGATACTTCGAAAGGAGCCGGAGACAGCCTTAAGACCGATGCTAGATCTAAGTATATTAACCTACAAAGTAAATTCGAGGTAGCTCTAGCATACCCTATAGGTTCTATATGCCCCTATAGAGTGCCCTAAAACTACCGAAATTAGTATACAAATCGGGGTATTGCGAATACCCCTTATACAACCTAATTACCTTAGATTTCTACTGTTCCGAATAGCCGTAATCGCTCGAAAACGACTAAGTCTACGCCTGCACCTTAGCACTACTACTACTACTACTTAGAAGCGACAACCTCTCCTTAGATCCGTCGGTTTAGTAGTCTAATTAGTATAGGAGATAGCGTACGAGAGGATTAATCTATCTAGTACGGTTTAGGTAGTATACCTATATATAACTTTCTACGGGCGCGTTTCGAAGGTGTTATAGGCTTACTAATTAAAGGCTTCTAACGACGAGGTTTATAAGAGCTACCTAATAGCTATAGTAGATTAATTAAAGTATCCTAACTAGGCGACTATATAGGTAAAGAATATAGAGCTATAGTAGATAGTACTATAGAAGGTAGCTCTACTATAGAAGGTAGCTCTACTATAGAAGGTAGCTCTACTATAGAAGGTAGAAATAGCTTACTTAGTAAGGGCAAATCGTCTAGTAAGAACGATAGCAACGGCTATTAGTGCCTTAATACCTCGTCGTTATCGTATTAATTACTTTTACTAGCGTCCTTTAGTAAAGATAGCGGCAATCGACTAATTAGCGTTAATTATAGAAGAAGGTCTATATCTAAGAGGCTATTAAATAGGTCCTTATTAACCTCGTATAGTGCGTCTTCTTTATCTTTAACCTAAGTAATAACGCCGTTACTATTAGGTAGACCGTAGACTAGTAGAGCATAGCCTTCGATAATAAGGCGAGGCCGATATATAAGGTTAGTTATAGAAGCGATAGGTACTAGTAGCGATAGCAATAGAGCTAGAGCTAGAGCTAGAGCTATATAGAAGACTAGTTACCGTAACGGCTTATCGTTAATAACTCGCTACTTTATAGTACGACGAGGTATTAGTTTAGCCTACTAAGTACTATTCTTAAACTACTAGTCTATCTAAGCGACTCGCGAGTCGTAGCTAAGTGCTTTAAAGTTAGTAACCTACTATAGAAGGGCCTCGTATTACTAAGCGTCGGTTAGGTTAGAAGCCTACGAGTCGTAGAACCGGAAGAAGGCTTATAAGACTGCTTCTTATATAGAATAGAAGTATTCCTTAACCTAGCGCTTCTAAGACACTCCTAGTGCCTTATTAACGTAGAAGACCTATACTAACTGCTCGTCTTTAATAATAAGCTTTATATTAAGCTAGTCGGAGTAAATAAGGTTGCTATTTAGACCTTAGAAGCGACTAATATAGAGGCTACAACGGTGTAGTATAAGGCGACTAATACCTTCCTTATAAAAGCGCTAAATATGCTTATAAGGAAGGTAAAAGCTATACTAGAAGTAATAGAAGCACTTAGTATATATATTGTCGTCCGTAGCCGGTAGAGCTATTCGCTAAGTAGGCTTGTTATTGTCTATATCCTTATAGCACTATATAAGCTTATCTGCTATCTTCTTCTATATAGAAAGAGGTAACCGTCGAAATTTAGAAGTCTTCTCTTAACGCTATATTAGAAGCTAGCTATTCTTATCGATAACGCTATTTTAACGGACGCGCTCGCGAATATAGTTATTAAGCTAAACGAGGTATAGGACGGTACCTAGAACAGTTAGTTATTATTATATAGAAGAGACAAGAAGCCGTATAAGTCTAAGAATAATACTAGAGGCTAAAAGCTAGCCTATTCTAAGGAATCCGCCTATACTAAGGAATATAGTAGGAGGACTCTATTCTTATAGAATTCCGACGGCACTATAAGAATAGGACGAATACGCACCTCGTAAGCTCTATTTGCGTATCTAACGCTTGTCTCGGTGCTTCAAGTATATATAATATCCCTCTAGTAGACTAGTAGTGCGAACGGCTATTAAAATCGGGTCTCTAAGCCTTGCCTAAGTCGCCTAGCGATCGCTTTCTAAAGCCTTCTAATTTGCCTTCAAATAAGCTAACTCTTCCGTAGCTTTAACCGTATTATTATAGGTCTTAAAGGCCGCTATTGCCTAGTTAATAAAGGCCTAGTATTCTTCTTAGTCTCGAGCAATAAACAGAGCCTTATTTATTGCCTTTAATATAGCTAGAAAGCGCTTAAAATGCTTCTCGAGGGTTTTAATAAGGTAGCGTTAGTAGAGGCGCTAGATAATGCTATAGTCTATAAGACTTTGACTAACTCCGAGTTACTTACTTACTAAGTTATTAGTAATTAACTATAGTAGTATCTAGGAAGACTACTTAGTATAATTAAAATAGTCTTAATCTTTAGCTTTAGAAGAATAATAGTTGTCCGCGTTAAAGAAGAAGTACTTCTTATAGCTATTAAATCCGCTAGTTTGTTACTTAAAGTCTAATTTAGCTATTTCTCGAAGGCTTAAGATTGCCCTTTTAATTAGATATACTTGCTCGCAGTCGAGAAGGAAGTAAGCCGCTAGAAGCTACTCTAAATAGCTATTACGGACGTATATAGTTAAGAGAGGCTATTTAAGCCTATTTATAAGGTATATAGAATCTAGCAAGAATAAGGACCTATAGTTGCGAAGGGCTTAAAGTTACTAGTCCGCTACCTAAATAAGGCCTCTATAGACTAGTCTATCGCTTCTACGAGATTGAATTATCTCTATAAAGCTACTTCTACTACTAAATTTAGTAGACAAGTACTAGTAAGCCTGCTATAACTGCTCCTCGAAGGCTAGTTTAGCGCCTTATCTTCGCTTATTACTTAGTCGTTTAAGGCCTTCTCGATTAGCGCTAGAAATACGGTCTCGAGTAATGCTAACCGTACTAGTATTATACTAAATTTGCCGCTGTTTAGGCCTTCTTATTTCCTTAACTAACTAAGCGACTAACGTTAAGCTATCTCGAGAAGCGATTAGGTCCTTCTATACCGCCTTTACGCTATCGTTAGTTTGTAAAGAATCGACGAATTCGAGACCGTACGAATAGCGGTTAGTAAGCGGCTTTAATACTACGTAGACTAGCCTTATAACCGTTAAATGCGCACTTAAAGTCGAAGGCAGCTCGGCCGGTACGCAATTATCGAGAAACTCGCCTATTTTACGATTTAGTCGCTTCTCGTAGACCTTAATAATTACTAGCTTCGCGCAATAGTCGTATATATATATCGTACGCGCCGCGCGCTTCCGCTAAGGCCTACTACGCTTAAAAACAACCTCTCTACTATCTACGCGGTTATAGTCTATATAGCGCTTATAGATATAATACTTAAAGCTAAGTCGTTGATATAACCGACCTTACGAGTCCTTCGATAGCTTATTCGGTCGATTCTTATAATACTATATATTAGTTACGAAATAGCGGTATTCGTCGTATTCGAAGCCTTCTATCTATAGACCCTCGTATGCCTTAATACTACTTAACTCGCCTATAGGAGGGTAGAAGAATAGGCGCCTTTAGTTATATATATTTAGTAGAAATAGGCTCTTAAACTATACTAATTTAGCGCTATTCTCGACCTTACCGACCTTACGTTAACTATATACTAGCCGCTCTACCTCGAGCTTAGTAAGCAACGCTTCTATATCCTTAGAAGGGAGGTGTTTCTTATATATCGTAAAGAGCGTAGGATTTAGCGATAATAAGGTCGAAACAAGCGTAATACGTAACTACGAGGAAGAGGTAGAATAGGTCGATAAATAAGAGGTAGAAATAGCCTCTAGATAAGGTCTAGTTTAGCTTTATTCTAACTCCTTATTTATAGGCCTATACTATACGATTATAAGGCTTTAAATTAGCTCGAGATTGGACCTCTTAGCGGTCTATATATAGCCTATAAACAACTACAGAAGTAGTTAAGCGGCCTTGCAAACCTAGCCGCTATAGCGGCGCGATCTACACCCTTGTATAGGTTGATATACTTACACCTACCGATGCTTGAGTGTTTCTCTAGCATCATGGAAGCAGCTGCCGTTCGTGCTCAGTCTGAGTTCAACCTTGTGCTCACATCCCAAAGTCAAGCGGTAGTTAAACACAACCAGAGGCGAACGCGCAAGTGCACTCCTACGTCTCCACAAATGGCACCTCCAAAATCCTGTCTTCCGCCATGCTGTGTACATGTAGTTCTAGGAGTCAATCCAAATCCGTTACAGCCATCGGCTTCAAGCATCGTACAACGACACACCGTGACGCAGCGCAAACGACCACCAGGTCACGAGTTGGCGGCGGCGACTCACAACACCACACAATCTCGGGAATGCGGATGCCAAATCCCAAATGCAAAAACCAATCTCCCCAATTTCTCGGGAAAGAAGAGGGAGGCACGACCGATACACAGCAGACCGCTGCTTCTCTGTACAACGACCAACTCCATCGCCCGCATCAAACATGACAAAAAAAATTCTCTTCCAGTTCTGCTCGTGCAACAACACCACGTCCCGATCTTCTACGGAGTGACTCTGCAGTGCAACTCAAAGACACACCCTCTCACAACCAAATGACATCGCTCGCATCGATGATCAAGGACCGAGAAGAAAAAAAAACCACCACCACGTCCCTCAAAACCCTGTCACAACATCTTCTAGCTATGTAATGAGCCGCGCAGAGTCCGTCGCACCAATCTCACTCGGTGGTATGTTCCTGGTCGTGCAGATCTACTCAAACCCATATTCCTGGAAACTTAATTTTTTCTCGCTGGTGTAGCCTTGAGCGCGCTTAATTTTCTGCTATTGACCAGCATCAAGGGTAGATCACACACATCGCTGCCGCGTCGCGCGTATCACAGCAACGTTCTTCCATGCTTGGATTGAAAAGCTACGCGCGAAGCATCATCGATCTCGCGGGAACAAACGCCGAATGCGATGCGTTATCACACAGGAGGGAGAAAGGTGCTCGCTCCCCCATGCATTATCCAATTTCCTAACCAAGACTCATCATAGTCACATATTCCCGCTTTGCTCCATCAGATACTGGGGCCCGAAGATGCTCCTCTCTAACTCGGTCTCGCTCTAATAATACACACCGACATCTTCGCATATTCAATTCGTAGCGGCGGTCAAAGCCAAGGTGCTTCACCATCCGCCTTAGCCCTCATTTTGCCATCCCACTTCCAAGCCTTCAAAGTCTCCGCTCCGACACTGCGCTTGTTCGCAAGTGCCTTGTTCCGCAGCTCCTTCAATGCCGGGTCTGTAGCTTCAAGTTGCTGTAATTGATCCGGCGACATCTCCAGCATCTGGGATGCAGATAGTGAGTTGCGACGGATGTGGTGCCATAGTTGCCGCGCCGTATCAGCGGCCTCCGTGGGTGTGGCCTCGCGCGTGTCAAGTGGATTTGGTGAAGACGGTGTGGCTGAGACCGTAATGGCAGTGGTGATTTTGGGTGATGAGATTGTGCTTGCTGGAACTACCGTATTGGTGGATACCGAACGTTGTAGCTTGCTTCCTGGTTTAGAAGCGGTCAATGAGGCAGCCACGGCTGTTCCTTCAACCACTACGGGTGTGCTGACTGACCGGGTGCTCTGATCGATGTCGGCATCCGTCACAATGACTCTGGGACTGGCTTCACGTTCGGTAGCATTATCCCCGTCTCGGGACTTCAATTCCAGATGTCGTCGGACTTGCAAGACTCTCTTAGTGTTTGCAAGCTTCCAGTGATCGATTAAAATGATTGCCTTGTTCGGTGGATAATGTGCAGCGAGAAAGCGTGCTAGCTTGCCATGCACACTTTCCAATGGTATCTTGTCGGCTGAGGTGGCAGTTAGACTCCATCTGGATTCGGTCTTAGGACGTTTGATGCTACAGATCTGCCGTACAGTGGCGATATTGTTCAATGGTAATGCGGTGTGGCGGTAGCGTGCCTCGATGTGAAGGAAATTGGACTGTAAGGTACCGACGATGCTCTTAAGCTCGGCGAACAAAGAGTCCTGATCTGCCTGGTCTCGGTCCATCTGAGTCTTAATTTTTGGAACACGAACCTTGAGAAAGAGCGAACAGCGCTTTCCTAGGCTCAGGTCTTTCATCGCTTTTTCGCCCACGATCTCTGTAATCCGAGAGTCATTCATCGCCTTGTAGCACAAGCGCAAGCTCGGTATGGTCCCAGCATTGCAGTCATGGCGAATGTCCCTGAACAGATTATCGAGGATCTGGGAGTTTGCATCGCCTTGGTCTTTGAACTCCAGCTCCCAGCAGTACCTGCAAGAATTCGAGACCAAGCAGTCGGGAGCAGGTCCGAATCCAACTTTGACAGCATGAGTTGGCCACAGAGTAGAATTCGCTATGGCCTGGACCATGTGCGCGGGGTTTGGTGATACAACGAATGCATGTGTGCTACTTTCCCGTAGATCTTGCTTCGCGACACTTCGCATAGCCATGTGGAGTGGCTGCCATTCAGAGACAGTATGGAACAAGCTGTCTCGGACTGTCGACGGAGTGAAGCCGAGCTTGTCCAATAGCGCTGCAGTCTTTGGAGCCTGCAACGGGTGCAGCTCAGCACACTCGCAACTGATTGTGGTGGCATTCAGTCGCGTTGACTTTGCAGCAAACACCAGTAGGCGATCTCCTGGCACTTTCAATCTGGAGCTCAACTCAATTAGACACTGCTGCGTCAGATTCGCAAGCGAATCCAGTGCCTCTTGGCATATGATGAGGATCGCATCGACTGTCTTCTCACGTGATGGTAGTTCCTCACTCTTCCTTGCTGAGTGCGTACTGACGACCTTCGTTCGCACTGTGGCTTCAATTGCGACCCAAACTTCGCGTGACACGCCCACATCGACCGAACCCCTATCTACCTCGACATTCAGGTCAATAAACGGTACAGCTGCCGGTACCAAGCTTGTCTCCTTCGCCGGCGCGAGAGTGAAGTCACGATATATTGCCCGTGGCGTTGGTTCACCTGCAGGCGATTGGGGCTCTGGAGATGGCGAGGGAGGGAGAAGCGCGCTTGAAGGCCGTGCAGGCCCCAGCCCTAAGCTTGGTGGCGGTGTAAGGTTTGTGAGCGATATCATAAGCTCATCAGTGGAGATACTAGAGTCGGTGAACGATCGCTGCGTGACTCCGTCCGGATCGATTTCCTGACTGTCAATGCTTTCTCTGCTAACCTCAAAGCTCTGCGTTCGAGATTGCTCCTCTCCACTTTGTTTGCGTCTCCCCGACAAGCGGCGCATGAGGCCAGCATCGTCTGCACTTCGTCCGGAATGAGAGCTCCGCGATCGGCTAGTGATGCCTTCCTTGACTCTCGTGAGCATGCGCCTACTCACGGACTTGTGTCTGGTCATCTTGCCAGGAATTTGCAGTGGCGGTGAAACTGGCCGAGCAGGATGCGATTCGTAATAGCTTGCCGCAGAGACCAGAGTTGTTCCGGTCATATCATTGTGCTCACCTAGACCGACAAGATCACCAACAGAGTCATTCATCGTCGTTGCACTGGTGAAGCTGAATATCGGTGCCTGTCGATATTCAGGAGCTTTGTACGGTGATGAAGAGTGCAAGCATGGAGGCGGCACATCGGCGACGATGTTCGTTTGCCGGAGATTTTCTCGAGTTTTGCGCACTTTCAGCGGAGAGTCTGCTGCCGCTGCTTTTCTGCATGCTGAATGATCTCTCTGACGTGCCAACGACGGCTTGCTATTCGGCGAAAGAAGACCGAATGGTGGCGAAGCGTAGGCTGCATGCTGCCAATGTCGAATGCCTATCGCCGTAGACAAGTTGCCAGGAGGTGTGGCGTCACCGAGCTGCGGGCTACCTGTTCCTCTCGGCGGTAGGTTCTCGTACCAGAATCAGTGAGATGGTTCCTGCAGGACATCGTGTTTCTCACCTCCTTGTTCGCCATGATCAAAAGGTTACAGTTCGGATACTCGGCGTCCGAATTGCAGCCTTTTGGAGATTGAAGGCCGAAAGAAGAGAATGAGACATGAATGAGAGGCGAAGAGTGCAAGTGGAGTTTTGCAAGCAAATGCAGGCACTTACCGCCATACTCATTCCGTCGCTGCCGCCAGCCGAAAAAGGAATATAGCAGGAGTCAGTGAGCCTCCCTCGCTCCTGCCAGCTCTAGAGATCTTGACACTGTTCTCGAATGGCAAGACGTGAATCATGCTATCCACAGCACCAGCATCCTTCACTCTAATTCTTTGCTGTAATATCTTGACACGGTCGAGTAGTTGGAGAGATCTGACTGATGGCATCTGCATCCATCTTCAGGAAGCTGATCTGCATGCCGGTGAGGATCAGAAGACCGCGATCTGCAAATAGTAGACAAGTACATACCACATCATTATTGTCACCTCCAAACAAGACAGGTTCAGACAAGCTATGCTGAATGCTTCGCCGCACACGATCCTCCCATACACCTTGCCAATTCCATTCACCTGGTCTGCGTGCTCCACCAGGTTGCTGCCGTGGAGAGACGCTGCGCTCTGTATTAGTCGATCTCTCGCCCGCTGCTTGTCTAGCTACAGACGCAGCTCGACTCGAGCTCTTAGAGCGATAGCTTTGCCATGCATGCCATGCCCCAGCGTTGGCAGCAGCATCCAGCGGTATCGTGTCAAGCACCTCCTCCGTGTCAAACACAATCCGCATATACTGCAGCACCTCGATGACATGTGGTGCGCGTTGGTGTCCTGGCGAATCTGGTTCGCCGACTTCCTGAGAAGCACCCTGATGACCCTCGTTCTGTGAAACATCGGCTTCCTTCTCCTTACTGACCGCTACGTCCTTCGCCGTGTCATCGAACCACTCTGGGAATCCATGACGCAGACTGAGCCCGCCAGGTGGCAGGCGCTGTTCATCGGCGGCACTCTGGGTGTCTGTGCCGAAGTCCCTAGTGGAGTAGGTATATGTCGTGAGCGGTGTTACAAGTGGATGAAAGACATCACTCTGGAATGCAACTACTGGCGGCTTGTGCGGGTAGTCGTCGGGGAAATCTATTTGGAAGCGTAAGATAGCGCTGGCATATGGTCCTGTGCGCTGGTATGAGCACGCAACGCTCCTCCAGTGGCCACGCAGGTCAATCAGCGCCTTCTCACCTTTGCGAACGAAAAGTACGCCTGCCCAGAGCAGGGGCTCATCGGGGACGGGTGCCACGTAAACGCCCTTGGGACAAGCATGCTTCAAACTGCCGCTGATGCAGACCTCAACATCAGCATTGTAACAAGCGCCGATTTGCGGTTGAGGAGCGCATACAAATCCACACAGAGCTTCTGCCGCGTCAAGGCAGGTGACAGCGGTGCGTGAGACATGGCGGGAGCTGCATTGTTGTCATGAGCATCAAGCGCAGGTTATTGAAGATCAGCGGCGAAGTTGAGAATTCCTGTGCACGTGACGGTTCCAATGCGAAGCTTGGGAAGTGAAACTATTTAACTCCCTGGCTACAGGAGACTGCTTCCGAAGGTGTTTGCATGCGACGTAGCCTATCCGCGATGCTCTAATTTGATGAAGCTGTCGTATCGCCACACAGGCCTTGGGGACCCTCGCATCACGGAATAATGTACCGCAGTACTGCAGAAATGAGTGCCCCCAGGCGCGCGATTCGCGAGCGTTCTGACTAGGCCTTGTGAACGTGGTAGTCCGGAGCTGCATGACACAAGAAACTTCGCTGGCCTGCGTCAGGACGTACAGTACATGCAAACGCAGACGCCCATTGGTCTACGTGCCAGCTCACACCGCCTCATCGTGAAAACCTGAGCCAGAGGACGTGGTCATGTGGTGCGACAGCTCTCTCCAGATGGGAAGGCTAAATTATTATTGACCTGTCGCGTCTGCGCCTCCAACAATCTTCTGGCCGAGTCGGCCAATGATTTGAAGCGCCGCGGAAGGCTGCTGTATTTGTGATGATCAACAGGTACGAAGACTTGCAACTCGCCGGTAGACGGCAATGAAAACACGCAGCCTGCCGACTCCGCGCCCAATAATGCGGACCGGAGCGATGTGCGCTGGCAATGCCTCCATAGCGAGCACACCGAGTCACACTCGGAGTCGTGTTCGATACGCCGCCGTCCTGACCGAGCTATGTTCCAACTTCCAAATTCCAACGTGCGAGCTGTGACCGTACATCTCAGCTGCGCGTGAACGTGATAGATTGCAGACAGGCAGCTGAAGTGAATAATACGGAGCGCTTGGCTTCAGCGCGCAGGCCGCAAGCCGCAGGCCGTGTGAGGCTCGGAATATCGGTGCGACATCAGTGGAAGGGTCGCATACCATATCAGCGTTCCTAGCAGTGCGACGTGCGTCTGAAATCTCCGCGTGATAGCTCACAAACTTGGACGCGAGGGTGTTCCTTGACGGATCGAATGCGACAAAGCGCGCACCAGGACAAGACCTTGTATAGAGCCAGCTGACTAGGGGTGCTGTTAGTAACCACTTGTCGGTGGAAAGCAACGTTAGTAACAAAACAACGTTAATAACCAGTTAGTATCAATATTCATGCCTTAGGTGTCTATATAGACCTCACCTCTTTATAGTATAGAATAGACTAAGCCTATAGCAATAGTATAGTACCTTCGTAACTATCTCGGTACTAATATCCTTTATAGATCCGTCTCTTCCGACTTAGCTAAGCTTAATTTGGTATAGATTAGTACAGAGATTACTTATATAGCTCTTCCGAGTAGTAGTTACTTAGGCGACTACTTAGTAGAGGGTTACCTAGTAACTATACTACTAGGGTTAGTAGAATAGTAGGTTTACTAATATTATCCGAATAGCCTAAAACTAGATAGTTCGAGAGGTATTATTAAGAGAGAATTGCCTACTGTTTTTTACCTGTTTCGACTACCTAATCCTCCGATTTTCGTATTTCTAGTAATTCTACGAATCTTATAATTCCGACTTTTTTAAAATGCCTCGTTTAAAGGACTTAGTTAACCTTAACTTCTTCTAAGTCGATACCGCTAATATAGGCAAATTTATAAGGTATATCTAGTATAATAGCGGGAAAGGAACGATAGTAGAAAGAAGCCTATTACAGAAGAAGGCGTACCTAGCGAAATGTTAGAAGTATTTAGACTATAAGAGGGCTTACTATTCTAACGATAAAGAGGCGCCGCCGCGCAAGCAACGTACGCTACTATTTAGTATCGCTAAGTCTAAGAAGGTGCGTAATTTAGCTATTACGAGGGCGATATTATATAGCGGAAGGCTATTTAATCTCGTAGACGCGAGATTCTATTCTAAATAGCGCGAGGCCTTCTATACCTTCGATACTAATTATAACCCTCTAAGTCGCAATAAGGTAGTAGATTGTATCGATATAGTACGAGCGGAGGTCGAGAAGGACGTTAAGGCGGTATTTAATACGCTTCGAGACCTTAACTTTAGCGCTAATAAGAGTAAGAGCCGTAGTAGTACTCGTTTCTATAACCTATTAGCTAATATAGTGTCTAGCTCGTTCTTCTATAACCTACTAGATATAAAGGACTCTAACGCTAACGCTATTACCCTCGCGCGGTAGGTAACTAAGTAGGTAGCGCCCTTTGTTAATAGTAACCTTAAACGATAGAATAGCCTATAAACCGATACCTACGCGACAATAAGATTACTCTAGGACTAACTCGCCGAGAATCTACTTACTAAGTATATAATTTGCGTCTTCTACGACTCGTATAGTATATAGCTATATATTAGCGACTAGGGTAACTATTAGAAGGACTCGTATCTACCGTTCTATAGCGATACGCTTCGAGAGGCTTTATATATACTTGCTTTATTTAAGAGGTCGAAGAAGGCTTAGAATATCCTAAAGGCCTTTACTAAGGACAATAAGGCTATTTTAAGGGCATTTGCTATCGCCTATCTTACTCGCTAGGGGTTATACTATACTGCAATATATAGCCTGTTTATAGCAATAACAACCCTTTAAGACTACTCGAGAGTTATAGCTTATAGGCTATTCTAAGGCTCGAATAGTCGCCTCGTAAAGGGCGCTTCTGCTACTCTTAAGACTATTAACTCGCCTCTATTCTAGAGCCGCCTATAGAGCCTTTATATACTCCTTTAGCTAATTAACGAAGTACGGCTAGTTAGTAAGAGCGATACCTCTAAGGTTAGCGATATAGTGCCTCGCTAGCGGTAACTGCGTCGCTCGATTAAGCAAGCGCGCCTACCTTACTAGAAGGACCTATTATCGCTCTTCGACCTCCGGTTTATTAAGCAAATACAACCCGTCTACTAGGTAGTATACTCGTTATATATTAATAATCTATTAGTTTCTCGAGAATTTAGTAACCGCGAAGAAGAATACCGTATTGCCTTCTTTAAGCGCTATTTTACCGACGAAGATAACGATCCTTCTATATTCGAGCGCTATCTACGATTTAACGACGAATTTATCGAATTCCGAGACTCTATATAACGCTTCTTCGCTATTAGTAACTACTATAAGCTTAGTCGGCACCGAGAGCGCGGCAATATTACTACTTATTAGGACTTCCTTACTTGCAAAGCGCCTCTTATAGCGGAAGTCGCCCTCTACCTATATAGAATACCTACTAACTTAGTACCTTCCGAGCGAGCCTTTAGCGCTATAAATTTTATATAGAACGACTATCGCTCGAAGCTATTTGCTACGCGTACCGACGACTATATCTATATCTATATAAATAGCCGCGCCTTACGTAGGCGACTAGTAGAAGAGATAGTAAGACGGCAACGATAAGCCAAGTTACGAGAGATATAGTAGCGATAGTTAGTAACTAAGAAAAAGATTAGGAAGGCGGAATTAGACGTATTACTTGCCTTTAAAGAAGCTATAATAAATAACTACTACTTGCTACTAAGCGACCCTCGCTATCTCTATATACCTAACCTTAAATAGCTATTTAATCTATATAGTCTATCTTACTACTAAGAAGATAACGACTTCGAAGACGAGCCTATTAATTATAAAGCGCTCTTCGAGGCGATAACGAGTAGTTAACTACTATAGTACTTACTATTCTTTAAGCTAGTTAATAGCTAGGCTTCTACTAAACACGACCCTCTAGTTAGCTATACGCTATTTAGTTAGTCGCTCTTATAAGACAATAATACTAATAACGGCTAGCAATAGCTAGAGATATATAGTAACTATACTAGTACGAAAGCGCTTAGACAATAAGCGCTCTAACAACGGCCGTATTATTAAGCTTAAGAAGTAGTCTATTCTATAGTAAGAAGTAGTCTATATAGTAGTCTTAATCTATAGTAAGAAGTAGTCTTATTCTATAGCTATATTGCCTTTAATATAGCATTACCTTCTACCTCTAGTTAGCCCTAGTTAGCCTTATATTACTAACAACTCAGTGGACAAGAGCAACGTTATTAACATGGTTAGCAACGTTAGTAACGTTGCTGACAATTAACAACCTGGCACCCCTACAGCTGACACAGCATACGCGCGGTTGGGACTTGGGAGATGATGAACTCTGCCCATACGATGCAGCCCAAAGCAGACCTGCATTTCTGGCGGCGATGACGTTTCGGGATCGTCTTTGGAGGCTCAAGCCATCGACTATCCTTACCGCATTCCCGGTAAGTCATGTGAAGCGGCACTTCACAGCCTGGATACCACTTTTCTCTCATCAGGAGAAGCTTTGAAACTTGGTTTCAGAGAAGCGCGCGGCAATGGACGAATCATTTTGCTGGCTGCGTACCTGACTTGACAGGCGCTAGTTTTAGGCTCATCGGCTCTGCATTGGTGCTCGCGTGGGTACAGTAGTGGAGTGGAGTTGGGGTTGCGGTGGCACTGGTGGCTCCCCTGCGTTCTGCACGGCCACGTCGCAGAAGAAATTCGACGCTGCTTCGATCATTCGATGCGATGGCAAGCGCCGCCGCCGCGGCACCAAGCACCGAGTTTAGCTGTACAGTAGTTTGGCCACCGACCGCACGGCGCTGATTTGCGTCGACGCGTTGGAAACGACGAGTGTCTGCATACGACGAAGGTACAATCGCGGGCATCACGCATCGACGCATGGTGCGGTGCCTCGGTTTTGGTCACGGTGATGTATCAGATTGCCTGGACAGAAACAGGCAAGCGTTGTGCTCGGCTTTCGGTCCCCAGAAGCCGGAAGTGAAGGATTCGTCTCTCGCGCTAGTCGTGCTACAGCAAAAGTTACCAGATGCAAACCTGACTCTCATACAGGTCATGGCCAGCTCCGACGATGGCTTTGATGAGTTGTGCCGACCTCTGACTTTCTCGCTTAAGCAGCAATTTTGCAGGCCCCATTCGCTGTTATGAAAGTTCACAGGGTTTTTGCAGGCCTAGACGAGAGCATAACGATCCCAAAACAGGGGGGTCACCCCGTACACCACTGCATCCACTTATGAGAAGGTTCACCGCTTGTTTCTTTCGCCGTCACCACGGTTTGGGTAGCAACGTCGTCGAGTCGCGGCGTGGCGGCGTGGCGGCGTGGCGTGGCATGGAGGGGGGCAGGCGGGCAGCGTGTTGTACGGACGGGGAGGCAGTGGGCGTTCAGTGTGATGATGTATCGATACTGGCACTAAGTTATCGACTACGGTACTGATGACAGCTGTGAGAATGGCACAGTTCGATGCTGCGCTGCGCTGCGCTGCGCTGCGCTGCTTGCTCGGCCTCGACCCGGCGGTGGCGTTGCGTTGCGTTGCGGCCGTGCGGTGCCTGTGCGTGTGCCTGTGAGAGGGTAGAGTCGGTAGACTTCGTGTCAGACTTCAGACTTCTCAGGCTTTGTGAGGCCATCATCTCGGCACGACAAGCGGACAGCTCTGAGACGCACGTCTTGCGTAGGGCTGATTAAGCGCGTCTAATTGCTGTCGGCCATGCGATCGTCACTTTCTGTCTGCCGCCGCTGCTGCTGCTGCTGCTGCTGCTGCTGCGTCGCTGCACGCACGCCGCTTCGCCTCGCTGCATCCGGAGGCTGTGGGCACTTCCGCTCGAGTGCCGGACGGAGGCGCTGGCGTCGAAGCCTCTTCCGTCTTCCGCAGCAAATCAGGCGGGCTGCTGCCAGTGAAACCAGTGCCCCGGTGCCGGGCACGATTTAGTTTGCCGCTAGCCGGGGGCCTTGTTGCGGGCAGCGCAGGATCGGCGCGATGACATCGGGCGCGCCCAAAATTGAGAGAACGACGGAAGCGGCAGTGAAGTTCCTCTGGCCATGGCACCCACGCCGTCGCTCCCGGCTCCCGAAACGTGCATCCGCTGCATCGACGGCCCCCTCAGGGGTAGGGTGGCCTGTATCCTTGTCTTGGGCCCCGGAAGTGTGGTCGATGGAAGTCTGTCGTGGAGCTCTGCCCTCGCGCCCCGGGCCCCCGACATGCTAGTGCGACTGCGCGCTCGGGCTCGACGTTGACCGCAATTGCACTATTAACCCACCATGACTCCCTGGAGCCGTGCCAGACGTCTGTCCCGCCGCATCGATTGTCCTGACGGTGCGACGAACGGTACTGCTCCCTCAGCTTCCTGCTTCTTCCCCTCCACCCTCGTCCTGCCTCGCGCCTGCCCACCCGTCCAGATCTCACCTGTTACACCTTGGTGGTACCTGAGTATCGACCTCGCCGCACATTCCCTCACTCCCGCTGCGTCACTTCACTCTGCCTGACGCGAGCGCTCCTGGTAGATGAAAAATCGCTCCACCCGCCTTGGAACCTGCCTGGCACCTGGCACCTAGCACCCAGCACCGACGCTTGTGTTTGCCGCATTGTCCCGTGAATGCTTCCTGAGCCCGAACACTCCTAATATAACGACTCGCACCTGCTGCCACCGTCGCAGCTTCCTCACCTTTGCCTTGGCCTCGCGACACCCTGAGCACACCGCCGCCACATTGCATGCAACAAACAACAACAACAACATGTCGCCCTCGGACTTCGCCAGTCGGCACCACTCCAAAGCCTTCCCATTTCGCCAGCTGTTCGTGCTCGGTACGCAAGCTCTCATGTGACTCTCCAATGGCTCCTCTGGCTAACTGCAACCTCAGGTCTCTGCAGAATATGCGAGCCAATCGCCTTCATGTCGATCTTTCCGTACATCTACTACATGATCGAATCCTTCCACATCACCGAGAACCACGATCGCATCGCTTTATACGCTGGCCTCGTGACATCCGTTTTCGCCGCAGCAGAATGTTTGGGTGCTGGCTTTTGGGGTGGGCTCAGTGATCGCATTGGACGCAAGCCAATCCTTCTCACCGGCTTGGCGGGCACGGGCATCAGCATGCTGATGTTTGGTTTTGCCCCAAACCTTCCGGTCGCTCTGCTCGCTCGAGCAGTCGGAGGAGCTCTGAATGGAAACATTGGTGTGTTGCAGACAACCGTCAATGAAGTCGTGAAAGTCGAGGCACATCAAGCAAGAGCATACGCCATCATGCCAACGGTCTGGTGCATGGGTGCCTTCATCGGATCTGCACTGGGTGGCGCATTGGCCGACCCTGTCCGCAACTATCCCGGCATCTTCCATGAGGGCACCATCTTCGACAAATTCCCATACCTCTTCACGAATCTCGTCTGCACCGCAGTCGTGGTCTTCAGTATGATAGTAGGCGTGCTGTTCCTGGAGGAGACGCATGAGGATATGAAGCACAAGCCAGACGTGGGCCTGCAGATCGGCAACTGGATCTTGGCACGATTTGCAAGAAAGTCAACCTCGTGGATCTCGAGCCGCAAGGGCGAGCTGACCGAGGAAACCCTCACTTTAATCGATGACATGCCTCCGGATTACAGAAGCACCGCTTCTTCGCCCGCCCTCACTCCATCCAACCTATCAAGCCTTCCACCTCCAGCGTATCGATCGATCGACGCATCTCCCCGAAACTCTTTGACGGCAGAGCAGAGAGCAGATTTTGCACGAGATGTTGAAGAGGCGCTCAATCGATCTGAAGAGCAAGCAAAGGCCAAATCTGGTGTGGCAAACGCTTTCACTAAGCAGGTCATGCTCAATATCACAGGCTACGGTATCCTAGCCTAGTAAGTCCAGTCTCGAACTTCGCATCTATCTGTAATGCTAACAATCTTATAGTCACACTATTTCAGCTGAGCAACTCCTCCCAGTGCTTCTCTCCATGCCGAAATCCGACGAGCCTCCACATCTCCCGTTCAAATTCATCGGCGGTTTCGCAATGTCCACGAAGACGATTGGAGGTATCCTGTCGATCCAGGGAGTCATCCAGATGATCGCCACTATTCTCGTATTTCCCATCGTCAATCGCAGGTTGGGCAGCTTGTGGACCTACCGAATGGTCGTCTTATCATACCCAATGCTCTATTTCCTGGTCCCATATATCACTCTGGTTCCAGATGCAGCAAAGCTGCCTTGCATCTACCTCGCAATCTTCTGGAAGGTCACCGCTCAAGCTTTCGCCTTCCCATCCAGCAGCATCATGCTCGCCAACACCGCCCCATCGAGCAAGGTACTCGGATCACTGAACGGTGCCGCCGCTTCTGCTGCCTCAGCCTGCCGAGCGTTCGGACCAACTGTTTCAGGTGTCATGCAGTCAGCTGGTCTTTCAATCGGAACACTCGGCCTGCCCTGGTGGGTCAACGTCCTCATCGCCGGCATTGGAGCTGTTATTAGCATGTTCATGGCCGAGGAGAAACGCCGAAGTTTCGACGATGAGAAAGTTGTTCCAGAGCCGCCACCAACCGCATCTGATGTTGCTGGCGCAGCTGAGTACGGTTCCGGAATGGCGGTCGCCGAAGACGCTAATTGCGACAACCTCCTCACCGCTCCCAACTCACCATTAATCACGAGATTCTCATTCGATATTCGACGGAACCACACGCGTCGCGACAGCAAGACATAGGCCCGATGCCTCGAAATACGCCCAGCTTTTTGAAGATTTTTTGCTACGCTCTTGCGTTGTTTATAGACTTGCGCGTTTGGGATGGGCTATCTGAGCGACTTGATATACCTACACGGCATCGATACAGGCGCCTTTCAGAGACGGGGTGCGCCAACTCACGTTGGACTTTGACAAAAATTGGGAGTTTTTGAAAATGGGAACGGCTTTTTGGGCGACATTACTTTTTGAAACTCGACCCAGCATCGGAACAGGCGCGATCATGATACTTGGCCAGCGAGCCACTATGTTTTGGATACCCTTTACAGTAAATCGGCTTCTTCAATGGAGCATTTCATGTGTGAGATAGGAACGAAGAAAGCGAGAAGAAGAAGAAGAAGAGCAAAACGGGGCCTGAAAGGTGGACATTCATAGGCAGAGGAAACTGTACTATTATTCTCCGATGCATCCTTTCTCATCTCTGTCAGTCAATATACCTGCATGTGCGCACACTTGCCTAATAATCCTCAGGGAGCTATCATAAGGATGCAACGTTCCCGGCCAGCTCATGCATGCAAGATAAAGTTCGGCGAGATCGTGTCGAGGGAGTTACCGTATGCAATATGTCGACATTATTATTTTGAAACCATGCCATGCTCACGCAAATCAACATCCGGCAAGCCGGCCAAGCCGAGCGTGTGATTCGAAAACCGGGCAACAAAACGTACCAGGTTCTTTACATCAATAATACCCGTTCCCACCACTCGAACCGAAGAAGAAGGTATCGAAGATGTCGCCTGTTTCCCAAGCCCCGCCACTTCCGTCCACGGCGCTCCCAAAACCAAGGTCCAAATCGTTGTTGGTAGAACCATTTGTGAGGCCCCACATGTTGCTACCGGGATCTGTGACTACGAAATCGTTCAGGAAGTCGAGATTATTGTCGAAGGAATAATCTTCTGCAGACTGCTGCTGCGGGATCGCGTCCGTGTTGTTGTTGTTGAAGGGTGGGGGATATGTTGGTGTTTGGTTGGTGGTTGATCGATATGCTGGTCTTTCGTCGGTTCGGGGAGGAGGAGGAGGAGGAGGAGAGAATTGGGATGCGGCGCCCTCGTTGCTCTGTGGACTGGCATTATTCGTGGGGAGCTGCGGAGATATGGGAGGAGGAGGTTGACGTGCGAATCCCTGCAGCTTGGGTTGCTGATTGAGCGGGCGGCTCGCGATTTCTTCTTCCGTGAATAAGTCGCTGAGGTTCATGTCGAATTTGGGGAGCTGTCTTCGACTTGGGCGTGGTGTGGTGGATTCGTGTTTCATCATCATGTTCTGCGTAGCATTGTTCCGACTGCCGAAGGAGCAGCCTTCTGGTTTGTTCAAGGGTTGTGTGCCGAGAGTGCTCTGATTGCCGAAACCGGTAGTGGTCACGACCATGGATATGGTGGCCTTGCTCATGCGGACAAAGGCATCCCGACACGACTCTGCAGGAGGGCACATGGGTACCAGGTCGCTGAGAACAGATGTTGCGGCTAGTACGGTAAAGTCGACGTCGTCGATGGTCATCTGCGACCTAACCAGAGTCGAGTGCCATATGGCGTATAAGAACGATATGCCTGCCACATGTCAACACTGATTTGTACCGAACCCCTTCGAATGCATTACTTACCGCTCATGAAAAGATGGTGAGTGGCCAGGAATGTATAATTGACAAGCTTCAGCCTATGAAGCTGTCGGTAAATACGCAGCACCATTTGGCCCGCCTCGGCTACTTTGATGAAGACCATCTGCTTGTCTTCTTCATGTTCGAAGTTGACATTCCCGGGACTCTGAACATCATCTCCAGTGGCTGGACCGAGCTCACTAGCAAGCTGCTCCGGGACCGATAAGGACTGGCGATACAGCATGATCACTGCTTGCCAATAGTTGAGCTCGAGGAACAGAGGATTGAAACCCACCCCGGTGTCCCATTGATTCGGACTGCTCTCTTTCCACTCCAGCAGCCTGCGATCGATATTGACACGCCACTCCCGAAAGGAGCGGAATGGCCTCATGAAGGGCGATTCGAGGCCGGTCGGAATGAACTCGTTGTTGCTGTTTGCTCCCATTCTACGAGCAGATTCTGCTTGACGATGTTGCAAGACTTGGAGGATTTCGGACTGCAAAAGTCTTAGACGGATATACTGCCTTGTCACGAGCTTGTAACTAGGTCGCTCAACAGAGTTGGGGGGCTTGAGGAATCCAGCGGGCGTGATGTACTTGTCGTCTAAAAGACTTGGAAACTCAGTCGTCACGACAGCTTCATTGATGGCGACCGGTCTTCCGACACATGAAGACACAAGACGATCCAGGTTGAATACGCACCACCATAATCTCCTGCGCAGATCTCGAGTCCACTGCTTCCGACCCAGGCTCTGATTTGACATGTCGACATCTGGATGAGTGGCTCTTGCATCCAGGTCGTGGTCAATGTCCTCGAAGTGGAGACCAAGATCGATGCTTAGGCGTACTGCCACGCCGATGATATACCACAGACCGGGAGCGACTGGTCGCAGTAAGGCCAACCCGGCAAGCAGTAGCACTGCCTGCAATTCCTCTAGCCCGCCTCCGACTCCTTCCGCAGCCGGTGATGAGCCCAGAAAGCTCTCAAGATGAATGATTGCCGAAGAGTGATATTGCTCGGGCTGATGTTGATAATTTGAGAATTTCTGTCTCTTCTTATTCGGCTGGCCAGATCCTGTACCTTCGGTGGCTGCTACGCTCTGCTCAATACTTGATGAATCAACAATAATTCCGGATCCAATGGCGAAGACAACATTCAACATGTAAAGCTCTCTCGGCGTCCGCTTCTTTGCATCCGTCGCATAGACTCTTTCGAATAGGGACATGAATTCTCCGCGATGCAGCGTTGGGATCTGTGGATTGGCGTGCTCAAAGTATAAATCTACCAGTCTAGCACCAAGCTCCTTTTCTGGGAAGGGAGCTGGCTTGATGGTTGGTTTGGTGTGAAGTCCAAAGAAAGAATCTCTCATCGACGTTGCGCCACCTAAAAGCGATGGATATAACAGTCAGCAACGTCTCACTCAGTGCATCCGAGGCATATCTACGAGCCTCAGTCGTACGCATTCGCTCGGAGTCATGCCGATCCCACAAGAGGGTACTCACTAGCAGCTTCGCTCGCCAGACCTTTTGACGGTCTCGAGCCACCCTTATCCGATGGAGTCGATGCCTGATTTGTGGATTTCTTGACAGCAGCAAAGACAACCCTCGCAAAAGAGATCCCTGACGCAGCGCCCAGAAGGCGAGAGTCCGAGCTGCCTTGCACCTAGAAGTAAAGGGTATCATGGTCAGCAATGTTTCACCTGATGCTCACTTCCAGGTCCAGCAAAAGGATAGCTTACAGAAACCATACCCACATCATTAACCAACCTATTAAGCTTCTCTCCTTCATCATGTTCCTTCAAAGCCGGATCCAGAGCCAACTGATTCTCCTGTGACGGCGCCGACCCAACAACCTGCTGCGGCGGCGTGCTCGCCTCATCCTGAATCGGGAAAGGCACATTGATACCAGGTTTGATAGACTCGCTAATAGCAAAATCCTGGCTCGGAGGCGGGAATGCAATATTGTGAGAATTTAGGATAGCTTCCAGATTGTTGACTCGGGTCTCCAGATAATATACATAACTCCTTGGAATCTCTCGTTTGCTGACGGGGTCGAAGCCAACGCATCGAACATTCGCTTTTTCGCAATTCGTGCATTTGGGCAGTTTTTGGTCGCAGCGGTTCTGGGGGGGAAAAACAGATGTCAGTCAGTGACTTGGAGAAATGGGCGAGTATGAACAATATGCCATGCCATGCTCATGCATGCACTAATGGCTCCACCGGCGGAGTCGGACGAGGTGAGGTTTCGCACGAGCTTCATTTCCAGCCTTGCTTATATCTATCTTTACCTTTCTGGTTCGACAACGATTACAGGCCGAGACATTTCGAAAATTTGTCGTTGAAGCGGGAGCTGTGGTTGGGGAGGCAGCGGTCGTTGAGGCGTCCTCGGCCAGCGATGAGGGAACATCAGACTCGCGTTCTCGTTTCATTTCACCTGAGCAGGGTCCGGCGAAGAAGTGTGGTTGAGCGAGTCTCAAGACCCGGCTGAAGAATAGGCCGAGCTGCTACACTACTGACTATTGACGCCAATAGTCTTTATGTTTTTGTTGTGGCATGCAGTCGACGGATCATTGGTGATTGCGATCGCGTGGGTCAGGACTTCGGTCGTAGATAACAGAATTGAGGCCGCTGATCACGTGCGGGTACAACAGGTAGATCAAGTTGGTATTTTTATGATCATGAGCAGGAGCAGGAGCAGCATAGGTGAAAATTGAGATGAGCAGTAAATGTTCATCATAAAACGTCTACTGCATCGCCGCTGCTACGGGCAATTTGCAACAGGAACGCTGAGAAATATGCAAATGCAAGCAAAGAACGCCTTCCCGTATACACAATGCCCAACACGGCATGCAATGGGGTATCTTACTTTCCAACTCCGTGCCGCGAGAAATCCTCATCAAACACGCCAAAGACGCCGTGGCAGTTTCATCTGCCCATCAACCCTCCTGCATCGTTCAAAACCATGTCGTCGAAGCTCGGCGGTATAGTTGGTCTTGTACCATCTAGCTGGCCTCGCTCTCGTAGCCCATATGGATCTGTAATGCTCGGATCTGGGTGCATTCCTTCTCTGAGTACTTCACCGATATCTTCAAGCTCCATGCCTTCTCGCGAACGCTGCCGCCTTGACATTCGTGGGAATGAACAGTTCGGTACTGATCTCGCCACTGGAGGATCTGGTAACGATGCACCGTGACCGCTTGCTCCTGAGTCGTACGCTCTTGAGTGTGCATCTCCCAAAAGACCACCAGCATCTTGTAGAGACATCTGAGTTTCGCTTCTTTCGAGCATTGGCGCGAGGACACCTACCGGTGCCGGACGAGGTCGATGCGGACCTCGCTGGGCCTCGCGATTGCGACGAGGTGAGCCGCTGCTATTTCTGATTAGGCTCGGAGACAGGATACCGCCAACATCTCGCAGAAATGCTCGAGATCCTGATCTCGATTCTCTGTCCTCAGATGACTCCGAGGCGAAGTCATGAGCTGCAACTCCGCCAGGACTCGACCGTTGAGCTGCTATATTCAAATTACTGGAGGGTGATGCTGTTGATCGCTCCTGACCATCCAGTAGGTTTCCCACGTCGAAGAAGCTGATGCTTCTTGTGGTAGAGGGTGCCGGTGATGGGAGCACTTGCTGTACCGGCGCTTGAATCTGTATTCGCAACTTCAAAGATTCCTCGCTGTCAATGCTGTCACGAATTCCTCGCCGTTCCGCTAGAAGTGTATCTTCGCGGCATGGGGGTGCAATGGGCTCCTTGGCGGGTAGGGCTGGAGGCGCAGGTCGTGGCGAGCTCACTGACTCTCCTCGCAAATGCTCAGGTACTCTGCATCCGAGCTCAAAGAAAAGGTCTTCGTCGCTCTCAGTCGTCTGAAATCGGACAAGTGTTGGTCGCCTTGCAGAATTACGGTCGCTACTCTCCGTGATGCTGTGTGACCTGAACTTGTTCTTCTTGGTGCCCTTGTCACGCAGCATTGAGCCAAGAATGACAGCATTCGAAACGGCAGTCGCAGCGAGGATCTCGCAAGATGCCCAGACCGTGCGATATTGCTGCCTCCCATGCTTGTCTATGACCTCAGGGATTCGAGCAGCCGTGACGCCGATCATGATCAACGACAAGCTAAAAAGCAAGACCATCTGTAGCTTTCGCTTCCAGCTGACGCCCGAGGTCAGCACAACGGGGATCGGAAAGGCGATCAGCAGAATATCGGTCACGATGTCGCAGGTGCCCATGACGAGCAACTGCGCATATCCCTGGCGGCAATGCGGACCTGGATCCGGAAGGACCTGCCAGTAGTGAGTGAATGGCTGGCATTCTGCCAGTGTTGCGACGACCACTGCTCCGAAAGTGACAAATAAGAATGCTCGTATGCCTTGCAGAGTACGCTGGTGGCTCATCCTCCAGATGCGGAAGGTGATCCGTTTCAGAAATTCCGAGACTGTCAACTTGCTAGCCCAAATAAACATTGCATAGAAGATGCGAGCAGGGAGGACGAGCTTAGCTCCTGTGCTCTTTAGGAGAAGCTGACGTGGGGTGTACTCGTATGTCGTGGTATCAACATTATTGGTGCCGTATATGAGAACGAAGTGGATCAAGATCATGCGGATGAAGAGCGGGATCAGGGCCAGCATCATGATGTAGTCCTCTCGAAAGAGTTTGTTGCTCCGAACCTTGCGGCTGCATAATCTCGTGATGATGATGACTGCTGAGAATGCCGTGCACCTGGCTCTTGTCAGTACGGAGTGGTGCTATCGATATGTGTCAGGCACACGGGGGTCGCATACCACCAACTGAAGAGCACCGTAGGCCAATTGGTCATTCGCGAGCGTGGCTCTGGAGGAGCCGTTCCCGTTCCCCACAACGCTCGAGACTCCAGCAACTGGAGCATCATCGCAAACTGGCTGCCCGCCTGCTCAGCCCTTGACGGGCGAGCGCCAGATGGCGTTGCGAGCAGTATCGGACGGCCGGACAGCGAAGCTGGAGATTGTTGTATGCCCTCGCGTGGCTTGGATCTTTGTTGGCCCGCAGATCCGATGACGAAGCCGACGCCAGCCGCCCGCGCATCGTACGCGGACGCGGGCGTGACATGAAATCAGGAAGGCGCGAAACAGCGAATGGAAAGGGCGATGAGAGCGACAAATGGTATAAGGGATACACGAAAAGAACAAAGAAGGAAAGGCAATGAGGCGAGGCGAGGCGAGGCCAGGCGAGGCGGCGCGGCGTGGTGAGGGTGAGGGTGGTGCTACCGCGATCCTTCCTGAGGCCACTACAAGTCGCTTAGGAGTAGGAACGCTCGCTTTACGATAGTTCTAGCCGGCCTGTTAGCTCCGATGGACTGATAACGCGACCTCGCACCTGAGCCGTAGTCATGCCATCCCATCCCATCAATGCTGGGCCTTGGCTGACGTTCCTGGTTGTGGGCGGCCCTGCCCGACAGAGCGTGCATGGACACGACTTCCACAAGCAGAGTCGAGGCGCAGGGCAGGCACTGCCCACGAAGCAAATTGTGGCGTGGCGTTCGCCGAGGGCAGTGGATGAGGAGAAACTGGGGAAAATCTCGAGCCGCGCGGCAGCGGCAGCATATCGGCAGTGGCAGTGGCAGTGGCAGTGGCAGTGGCAGTGGCAGTGGCAGTGGCATGAATTCTAGCGGTTCTTTCAAGACACCGACTTCAACAACAAACAACCCGTACAAGACGCAAGAGAGTTGCCGCCAGTCACGGTCCGCGCCCGCCTTGAAGTCGTCACTCGCACGTGGAATTCTCCAGGAACCGTTTTCGCGCGTGAACTCGCATGCGCGATGTACACAAGCGTCAAGCAAGGGCAGCATATTGACGTAGAAGAGGAAAGAAGTTGACTGCATCGTTGTGCTGTGCGCTTGATCCGCATTACGTTCATCGGCCTAGTAATTTAAGTAGAATATGGTACATGAGCTAGGCCACCTAGACTGTGTAGACGGTGGTGTTATCGTCATCAACTTCTCCAGCACGCTCGGGTATATGGCTTCTGCTACTTGCCATCCTCATCTTCGACGGCCTCGCGCCGCTTCGACTGCACGCTATCCTCAGCAGCCACCATGTCCGCCTCCAGCGACATCGCGTCTGCGTCAGTGGTCGAAAGGCCATTTGCCTGGTCCACGACTTGATCTCCTGCGCCTGGCGTTGCATCCTGCTCATTGCCTGCGTCTTCCGTTTTGTGCTGCACTTGTTCAACCTCTGCCTGACCAGACACACTGCCCCTTGCCTCCTTTGCCTCTCTCTTGAACTCTCGCCCGCCATTTTGCTTAGGGTCTGAGTGATTGATCAACTCCACATCCTCGTTGTAGATTCGAAGGAGCATCGCTCGTCGGTCTTCCTTCGGCAGCATGAGATTGACGCTTGCTTTGCTACGCCATAATGGTAAGGTGAGAGGCTCTTTGAACTCATCTGTTCCAGCGTCGGGCGTTGCCTCGACGCGAAGGACGCAGCATCCTCCTCCGATACTGTTGACTTGCTCGCCAATTTCGCCGAGATCCTTCCAGCCTCCAGTCTCCGTGCCATCTTCGTGCTGAGTCGTGGCGACCTTGGGGAACATCTCCACCAGGAGTTTTCTCAGAGTTCTCTTCTTCCTGAGTCTGATCACTCTGCTCTCTCCCACCCAGCCTTCTATAATCGGAAGACCTTCGGCCTGTATGCGCCATCGGCAAATATCCTGTCCTTGAACGTCTTGCTTCATGAACATCTTCACACCTGCGTGAACGAATTTCATACCTCGGTTCTCATTTGAGATCAGTATGTCTTTGATCAGCTTTGCGACGTAGTAGATACCCTTGACCGGATCTCCAGCAGGATTGCGAACGAGAAATCGATCTCGAGGAAAGGAAGAATGCAGGTCATAGAAACTGTAGATGCCGACCAGCTCTGGGTGCTCTGGTGAGAGGAACTTGAAAGCCTCCTCGTTGGCGTCTGCGTTCCTCCTTCTCCATTGCTGTGTCGCAGCCTCTTGAGGAACACTTTCCCCGAATGCGTCCTCTGTCACAGCATCTTTGACATCGCCTTGCACTTCAACCTTGGTGCCATCTTCAGCTATTGCAGCACTGGTGTCGTTTGGCGCATCTTCAAGCTTGGCCTTCTTTGCACCTGCCGCTGCTGCAATAGCATCCTCATCATGATCATCACCAGGAGCAGCTCGCTTCTGTCCTGCGATGGTGCCATCGTCAGCAATGGAGCTGGCATCCACCACCTTGGGCTTTGCTACAACTCCGTTCGTGATTTTCTCGTTTGTCTCGGTAAACATGGTCTTCTCTGGAATTTGTGGCTTGACGAATGTCCAGTCTCTGCTCCCGGACTTGGTATCAGGTTCTGCCTTTGCACGAATCTCGCCTAGCTTCTCCAATGCTGCGATGAAGAATCCGCCAGTGTCTTGCTGATGCGGATATACTCTGATGCAATTCTGAAGAGGAATCTCTTCCGCCTCCTCCGGAGGAAACATGCCAGGCACGATCTTGCTGCCCTCTTGTTCAAATTGAGATGCTTCTGCCCATGATTCGTAAATCGTGCCGCTCCGGCTCATAATGCTCCAATCCTTGAGGCCTGGCTTTCGATGTAGACCTGGTAGACGATCGGAAGAGTCACAAAGTCTCACTTTGGACACACCTCCGCATCGCTCAATGGCTGAGGAAATGACAGCCTCATTCTCCACTGGGTTCAAACTGCAGGTGCTGTAGACTACCCTGCCGCCCACCTTGAGCATTTGAAGCGCTCTTGTGAGGATGCGAACTTGTGTGATATAGAGCCCAAGGCCATTTTGAGGTGTCCATTCTTTCCAGATACTAGGATTCTTTCTGCAGGTGCCGTCTCCACTGCATGGTACATCTGCAAGAATGCGATCAAATTTCAGCCAACCGCCCTTCTTCTGACCATTTGGAAGTATCTCTTGTGAAGTTGCGATTGATGGAAACATCGTGGCATCGTGGTTCGTAACGATCAAGTTGGGCGAGTTCAGGCGCTTAACTTGGTGAACAAGCATCTGTGCTCGCTGGTAATTGACATCATTCGCAACGAGAATACCTGTGGATCGACCGGAGTCTGGTTGCACGCTTTCGCCTTCGCCTAGAGTGAGCTTGCCATTGGCCTGCTGAATAGAACGAGAGACTCGCTCCTCTTCTCCAGCATGCAGTAACTCGACCAGTTGCGCACTCTTACTGCCGGGCGCAGCACAAAGATCTAGGACTGTGTGATGTGGCTCAACGTCCAGGAGTAGCGGTGGTATCATACTAACTTCCTCTTGCCTGCTGATGTTCCCGACACCGGTTTCGCTGACGAGGAATTTCTGAAACTCCTTGAAAGGCTCGTATTTTCTGACAACATTCTTTGGCGTGGTCATGCTGTACGCGAGCCCATTTGGATACCATGGCATAGGCTTTGGTAGGTCGACCGGACGACCTTCATGCTTGATCTTTTCGAGCAGAGGGAAGAAGCGGTTGACGAGGTTGTCGCGGACGCTCAGCGCATGTCCTTTGGATCCCGTGAAGCGGAAGGAATTGGGAAGCTCTTTCCGCAGAGCCTTCCAAAATGCTTCTCGCTCTTCGCCATCCGGTACGATGCCGATGGTGTTGTAATAGTTCTCGAAATTCTCGTTCCGCTTGTCGACATTTTCGAACGAAACTCGATTGTCCTGGAAGTTTCTCTGCCCGCCGCCACCACCTCCTCTCCGTCCTCTTCCACCGCCTCCGCGACCACCTCTCTTGCCCCCTCGCGGCATGGTCGTCTTCGATCTTGGTGGTGCGCACCTTGAGAAGTGCGAAAATCAAATTTTGAATTGCATTGAATAGTCTACTAAAGTTTGCGTAGCTTTCGCTTCCGCTTGGCGCGGCTCGACCTCGCTACGCTACCTTCCATTATTAGGTACGACATCACTTTAGCAGACCAGCGACCTCACTCTTGTCATCATATGTGACTCAACAGGCATCGGGAAGACGGATTCCTCTACGCGCAACGCAGTGCAGCAGTAATCTCAACGCATAAATTCACCTCCAGCACGAACAGCCGTAGCATTTCCCCTGAACTGAACACATGCATCTCCGAACATGAGCGGTGCTGGACTGAAGCGAGCAACTCATCGAATGCAACCACCGATGAGAAGCATCGTTTGCCGCAAAAGTGATCAAGAACAAAGCCAAGTGAGGAGCAGCGCAAGCTTAAGGCTCTGGCAACTGAAACGATGGCATGAGGTGGCAATATAATAAGCTCGCACGCTCTCCGTGCAGACTCGGGACAGTTCACAGCCGAAGAAATAGGTAAGAAAGTGTGGTGGCTGGAAAGCTGACCCGGGCCCAGAAACAGAAACAGAAACTCTGCTGGAATGTCACATCACGTTTGTCGTCGCAGTCTGATAAAGTGCGGTGAAGTGAGTGTCAGCGGCCAAGAAGCTCTGCAAACGTTGTGCGGTTCCTGTCGCTAGTGATGGAGCCCACGGTGCCCACCATCCAGTATATGGTATACACATTGTATATTATACCATGTATACAGCCTTCACGGCCGGAGGCCCGGAGCCGGAGGCCTAGTATACACCTATAGAGGAGTTATGTAATACGCTAATAACAGCCTGGATACAGGCTTAGCAGCCGGATTTCCTAGGCTATTAAGGTATTCGCACGGGCCCTCACCTACATACACCGGGTATATACTGGTATATTAATATTATACCGTAAACGGTGCATACAGGGCCAATAATCAGTTCCTAGTATACATAATACCGGATATCTACATCCCTACCTGTCGCTCATCAGTCTAGCGCACAGCTCGCGGCCTGCGATTCGTCGCTTCCCCACAAGCCGCACAGACCCGGATCTCTGGACGACGGCAACGGCGATCCAACTTCTGCTTTCTCTTCTCCATCTCTCACTCTGCTACTCACCACACCGGCAAGGCTCGCATCCTCATCACACACTCGCGGAGCTGCTCACACCACCAATTCTCATCATCACAACTAAATCGAGTTCTCGTTGCTCCTCCACCAGATCTTCATCGTACCATCCATTACGACCTCGTTGTCGTCGCCAGACCTTCCATCAATCGATACCTCGTTGCCAGGCCACACCACACTGGCCCAACTTTACCTCAATCCACCAGCAGTCTGCTCCGACCACACTCCTCCATCACTGCATTTATTCAACAACCACAGGTGGCCAGCAGACACCTGCATTGCTTGCAGCTCGACGTTTGCAGCAGGATAAGCAATTGATGTTGTTAGATCTTGATACTGACCCAGCTTCTTCATACACCGCCAAGATGTCTTCGAACAGCTTCTACCAGAACTCACCGGTCGTCGCTCTACCGCCAGCAGCACCAAACCAGTATTTTGTCAACAGCCACTACATCCAACACAACGATAGCAACAATGCTCCCATGCTCAATGGCATTTCGCCAAACGGCCTCGCTAATTCGAACGCGTTTGCATCAAATTGCTCGGCTCCAGCTGCAACTCCAGGCGCTTTGGCCGGTCGCAAGCGGTCTCGCGGCGACATGTTCTCTCAAGCTGACGAGGAAGACGAAGAGATCCCCGAGGACGGCTCAATAGTCACGCCTGCCAACCAAGAATCCATCAAGCCTGGCGGTAAGGCTATCTATGGACCGGGAATGACAATCCTGTACCCTGACGATCCCGGCTATGCAGCATGTGCTGAATCTCAATCAGGCACCTGGGTCGAAGAACAGTCTGAACGAAGGCCTTTCGCTCATGCGAAGCGGCCTTCCGTGACCAGCCGCAAGTCGCAGCGCATGGATTCCACTGCTGGCTCAGATGATCTGGCTCAACTGGTCCTTCCACCTTCCATACGAGAAGCCACCGACGAGCCTCTAGTCGACGAAGCAACTCGTCGTCTAGGGATCTCGTTCTGCCGCATGGACTCCACCGAGGCCCGTCAAATCAACCAGAAAGCCTACTCGAAGTGGATTCAAAACCATTACCCAGGTCTTACCGAAGTCGCAGTCTGGTTTGAGAACAGCTCCATCCCGGGATACATTGTCGCCGCGCTCAATGCTCACAACGGTCAGCATGAGTATCTGGTATTCTCCGACGACCTCACCGAAGCACGCCGCATCACCACCGACCCATCTCAGCTTATCCCACGTCTACAGATGCTGCCAGCGCTCGAGCTTGCTGCGCCTGGAGGCGTCCTTCGCGCTGAGACTGACCCTATCACTGCGTCTCAGAATGAGGCCACCGCTGCCATCACGGAGGCATACAGTCAACCTCTCGGTGGCTGCGCCGCTCATGCGATGGAGCTGGATTAAACCGCCTGCTACTACGGTAGAACTCCTTGCTTGCGATTTACTTATGGACCGGTTGTTTTTGATCTACGAAAATGGCGTTTGACTGGAATTTGAACCAAAATCTCAGGCGTCTGGGACCAATTCGCGCTGGAGCGCTAGAGTCGAGCCACGTTTGATGTATTGATCGCGCGAGATGAATCGCGATGGCTTGTGAGAGCCTGATCGCCTATTGCTGCATGGGCACATTGCTTGGTATTGCTTGCTTGATGTATTATACCATTTAACGACGAAGTACACGGTATCCAAATGTTGATGAACATGTTTCGCTTTCCTTGACCTTTGCTGTCGTCATCGCTTTAAGTGGCTTCGGTAGCACGGTCGTGCCCTACAGCGTGATGAATGAGTTGAAGTGATGTTCCTACGGGCTGCACAATGTGGTCTGAATGTATTGATGAAAGTATCATGCTCAAAAGGCCGGTGCCATTGCATAACTGCATGTGATGGAGGGTGATGAATGACGCTGACGATGTCTTTGTCGGATTCGGTCAAAGCTTCTTGGAAGCTCTCGCCTCTGGACTTCGACAAGCAGGCGGCACAGAGTACATGTAGCTAGCTCTAACGACAATACGCCTCCTCGAATTCCCAGTCCATCATCAGCACGGCCAAAATGGCTGAGGGCATGTTCTATGTAAGCAGACGTGCTATGGCGTTGGTATATGTCCAAGCATGCTAACATCTGTTGCGCTACGCAGAATGCGACAAATGGCTACGTCGAAGGCATAGTCCGTGGCTACCGCAACACACTCCTCACCGGCCAAAACTACGGCAACCTCACTCAGTGCGAGAACATCGATGGTATGCACGGGGAAAATAGGGTGTAGCAGATGGGAATGCTAAGGTAGCCACATACAGACGTCAAACTCCAGCTCGGTCCAGCGTACGGCGACTTCCTCGCCTCCCTCGCGCCCAACCCATCAACGTCTGCACTCGCCGATAAGCTGCTCGATAAACTCGTCGCAGAGTTCCGATATGTCCAGGCGCAGGCGACGGGCAGTCTTGCCAAATTCATGGAATACCTGACCTACGCCTACATGATCGACAACGTTGCGCTATTGATTACCGGTACTCTCCACGAACGAGACACGAAAGAGCTGCTAGAGCGATGTCACCCGCTGGGCTGGTTTGAGACGATGCCTGTACTATGCGTGGCGGCGAATATCGAAGAGCTGTACAATTCGGTGCTGATCGAGACACCGCTGGCGCCATACTTCAAGGGGTCACTCTCCCACCAAGATCTCGATGAGCTCAATATTGAGATCATCAGGAACACACTTTACAAGAACTACCTGGAAGACTTCCACCATTTCGTGAACACCGCGCCCGGTATTGCAGGCACGCCCACACAGGACGTGATGAGCGAAATCCTCGAGTTTGAAGCCGACCGAAGAAGCATAAACATCACGCTCAACAGCTTTGGCACAGAATTGAGCAAGCAAGATCGCAAGAAGCTGTACCCGAATTTTGGACGTCTACACCCAGAAGGTACCCTGATGCTGAGCAGGGCGGATGATGTGGAAGGCGTACGGATAGCGGTCGACGGCGTCCACGACTACCGGACCATGCTGGACCAGACAGGCATGGGCGGCAACTCCATCGGAAACCAGAGCGGCGGCATTGGAGGTGACGAGGGCAAGAGTCTGGAAGATTTGTTCTATCAGAAGGAGATGGAGCTGAGCAAAATGGCATTCACATACCAATTTACACACGCCGTAGTATATGCTTGGGTGAAGCTGCGGGAACAGGTGAGTCATGAACAGCGCACACAAGTAGGACACGATACTGACGTATATTCCAGGAAGTACGAAACATTACATGGATCTCGGAATGCATTGCCCAAAATCAAAAAGATCGCGTCAACAACTATATCAGCGTGTTTTGAGAAGCGATGACAAGAGCAGCAATGGCGTTCGAGGATAGGAAAGGGCATGTAAATTGATACGGATACCAGCATGTATACCTTCAGAAAGCAAATCCCACAATTTCACGGGAATGAGCAGAGGGCGGCCAATGTTCCAGTCATTCCTATGCTGCGATGATGCACTACCTAATCCCCAAACCCCTCAAAATGCTCCTCTGCCTTAGCAGCATTCTGCGCCCTCACTTTCGCAATCAAATCATTCAACTCCCTCTCCTTCCTCTTCTCATCCTCACTCATCTTCGCCATCCCCTCAGCCTTCCTCCTGACCTCCTTCTTACTCCTCCTCACCTCCCGATCAGCTTTCGCACCTTTCTGATCACTCCAAGCCCTATCCTTCCTCAACCTGGCAGCCGCAGCCTTACCCTTCAACTCTTTACTCTTCCTGCTTTCCGGAACCTCACCTCTGGCATACGCAGCATGATCTGCTAAACGCTTGGCTTCCCTGACTTTATCCGAGTAGGAGATATAGTCGAGATGGAAATCTGAGGGTAGATCTAAAGCGTGAGAACGATTCGCGACTGCTTCGGGAAAGTGACGTTTGAGTTCTGGCATTTTGGGCCAGCGGAGGAGAGCCCAAGATTTTGCGGTTTCGGGCCAGTTGAGTTTGCGGATGGAGAATATGTCGGTTGGGAGGGTTTTTGTGTAGGCTTGGAGCCAGGAGACGAAGGCTTTTTGGGAGCGGTCGTGAAGTTCGCGTTTTGATGTTAGGAGGGTTCGGATTTTGAAGATTGTTTCTTCGGCGGTTTCTGGGGGTATGGTGAGGGGATCTGGGTAGGGTTCTAGAAGTGTGCCTTGCAGGCTCAAGTATCGGATGTAGTCCTCTTCGGCACCTTCGCTGAGAAATGTGATAGCCATGCCACGTTTCCCTGCACGACCAGTCCGGCCGCAGCGATGGATAAAGTCCTTGGGTTGCTTGGGTGGGTCGAGTTGGATAACTAGGTCGATGTCTGGTATGTCGATGCCGCGAGCTAGCACGTCTGTTGTGAGAAGAATAGCAGGAGTGGTTGAGTCGCGAAATCTTTGTAAGTTCTTGGTGCGGATTGCAGATTTGTGATCGCCGTGGAGAGGATAGACCGATACGCCTAAGACCGCAGGTAGGACGTGGTTCCAGTAATCGACACCAGCTCTCGTCGAGACATACACAATCGTCTTCTCCGCTTGCGCCCTCTCGAGAATATTCTTCAAGTGTGGTAGTTTCAATGTCGGCTTGGTGACGAGGTGGTACAACTTCAGACTTTCCGGTGTGCGTTTGTCCAGTGCTCCAGACTTACTACGAACTTTGGCGCTGATTTTGAAGGGATATCTCATGCCGACTCGAACAAGCTCATCCACTGCTTCCGAAATTGAAGCGCTGAACAAACCTGTTCGACGCTCCTTAGGCACAAGTTCCAAAATCTTCTGCAAATCTGGTTGGAAATTAGGGTCAAGCAGTCGATCTGCTTCGTCCAGCACCAGCAGGTCGAACCAGTGTCTCTTCAGCACGACTTTTGATGAATGAAGCACCTCGACCAGTCGCTTCGGTGTGCCTATGAGGATGTTTGGGTTCAGAGTTGAGAAGGTGGCCAGATCTTCCGAAGGCTTCGTTCTGCCACCAACGAGCAGCTGCGGTATCACATAAGGTCCGGGTGGTACTTCTTCAATGTCCGCATCGTCCATATCTTCGTCTTCGCTGTCCTCTTCAGGCTTATTGCTTTGCTTCATCATAGCAGCTGATGGCGCATGAAAGTCCAATAATCCAGCGAGTACATGATAGATCTGACTGGCCAATTCTTTCGTCGGCGCAACCACGATCGACCGTACATAGCCTTTCTTGTTCGGATCCTCAGCTTTCAGGATGCGCTCTACAAGTGGTATGAGAAAGCTCAAGGTCTTTCCGCTTCCAGTGACAGCTTCGACGACAAGATCTTTGTTGCCCATCAAGAGTGGAATGGCCATGGCCTGGACTGGCGTTGTGCGGGCGAATCCCATGCCTTTTGTGAAGTCCAGGATCCATGTGGATAGTTCTGGAGTGAGGGCCTCAAAGGACTTTGGCCTTTTTTCAACCTTCTCATCCTGTGCCATAATGCGTCAGTCCACCTGGTATTTGTGAGGGTGAGGGTGCGGTCGTGCATGTCCATCAATCCGAAGTTGCATTTTCGAGGTTGCCTCAATCTCAGGCGCGGGTGCTTGCCGAGGAGCTTGTCACGTACTGGGGTTGCGGAAATAGCTGTCACTCTCGGTCCGCAGAGCCGCGACCTTCGAGAACCGACTCAGGGATGCCAAGAGCGACTTTGTTAGCAAATGTAGTGTATAGATGCTCGTAGAATAGCTCTAGTAGTTTCAATTAATCTTAGGTACTGCGATAGCTGCCGTAGTATCGATTAGGGTTAAGAACGAGGGTATTCTACGAGCCGCTAAAACCTAATAGAAACGCGTACGACTCGTATAACTACCGGCAAAGCGCTAGAGCGACTAGATACGAGTCTAACTAAGGTGACCGCTACGGTTAAGAAGAAGCCTATTTTAAAGACCCTCGAGAAGAAGATAACGCCGCCGCTAGTTAAGAAGAGGTCCGGAGGCGCCGGTAAGAAGAAACAAGCGGATAAGACCGAGGCGCTAATAATTGAGGTAAATAAGGACTCTACTACGGGCACTACGGCTTCGGGTACTAATAATTGCCCTACTAGTGACGTTAGCGGTAAGATAGTAGGCTTAGAGATAGCTTCTTCTACTACGACTTCGTCCTTCGAGTCTTCCGCTTCTACTAGACTTCGAGCTCTTAGTCGTAGAGCTATCGCTCTTACGCTAGAGTCTTATACTCGTAAGCGGCTTACAAATAAGAAGGGGTTGCGCTTGTTAGACTATAAAGGCACTTAGTACGTTATCGACACTACTAAGAAGTCTAAGGATAAGAAACAGGTCGCTATAAAGCAGTATATATACGACGTCTGCGATCTAGCCGAAGGGTAGACCGGCTTTAAGTAGGTAGGCAAGGTAACCGAGAAGTTCAATCTTAAGCGTTATATAAGGGTGTCTTTAGTCGCTTATTATAAAGAGGTTAAAGAGAAGGACTATTATTAAGAGAGCTAGCTACAACCGATCGACGATAATAATAGAGCTTCTAAAGAAGACAAAGCTTATAGCCGTACCTACGACCGCTTGTTCGAATAGTTAGAAGAAGGATTAACTAACCCTCGTATCGATATATATTTCTATACGAAGCCTCGTCCGGCAGGCGCTAAACTAGTTGCCTTAGCTTAGCGATAAGGCGGTAAGTAGAAGAAGGGCACTCCTAGTTAGTAATAGCTTACCTTAGCGGACACTTAAGTAATAGAATTAAATACTGCTAGTAACTTCGAGGTTAATATTCGAGCCGAGTTTGCCTATAATTTAGTAGGGTGTCGTAACGTAAAGATTAAAGGACCGAAGACTTGTTGCTAGCGCAACCCTGCTAAGTAAGACGTGCCCGACGAACACTAGTTAATAACTAGTAAAGTAATTAAGTTGCTAGCGAGGAAGATTACCGCCGAGGAGTAGAAATTTAGCGATTAAATATACCTAGAGGTTCTTGTCTTAATAATAAAGCTCTACTTCGAGAGAGATATTACTAAGAAGGTTACTAAGCAGCTTAGGAAGAAGGGTATAGCTATAGGTTATAGCGACTCGACTCTAGCTAAAGCCCGCCCTAAATAGGCTCCTATTAATATTATCTTCGGAGATAAGGCAGCGGCTAGTTTTATAGCAGCTATAGGTCTAGGCTATATACCTGCAACGCTATCTAAGACTCCTACTCGTTCTCTTCTAAGGCCGGGCCTTCCGAAGGATATCTCTATACTAATAGTGCTACCGGAAGGGTTACTAAACTATAGGTTAGAGGGTAAGGAGCTTCGGGTAGGGTATTTCTAGTAGGCTCTTTAGACACCGCCCTTCGTCGATTTAGCGCCTATACGGTCCCTTTAGAAGCTATACATCGACGAGGACTTTGATATTATTACCGTCGCTAATATAGATAAGAAGACTTAGAAGGAAGAGACTTAATTAGCGAGTAGAATAAGGTTTAAAGTTAAGGAGTTAGTCGAGAAGTTCTTACTACTAAAAGCTAATAAGATTATAGCGGCGGAGCTAGCCGGAGCTAAGGAGACTACGTAAAGGAACGAATTCGGCTTCGATTCTCGTATTTACTATACAACGTTAATACTATTAATTTTTGTAATACTAACGGGCGCCGCTATATAAGACTAAATCTATCTCATTTATCTAATTTAAAGTATTTATATACGTTGTATATTGAGAAACTTGTAGCATCTAAAAGCTAGCTATTCGAACATTTATATTAGTTCTTAGGACTGTATGCGCTAGTAGATTTAGCGCGGGTGCCTCGCTGCCTAACAAACTTCTAGTATCTAAATCCATTCTTCTTTACTATCTTCCTTACTCTCTATATCCTTATACTACTTATTAATTGTCGCCGCTAGCGTAGACAGAGCCTAGGCGTGCTATGCGGACTCTTCTAGATTAAGACCTATTAGATCTTATACGTAGCTAGCCGCACTAACGAAGTCCTCCTCGGAAAACTCGAAATCTCGACAATATACGTTGTATCCGGCATATTCGAAGAGTTTCTACGCTCGTAGACCGCTATAGCGCTATAGACAATAATATAGGAAGTCGCCGAAGTTCTTAAAGCATTCTAAGTCGCGAATGTGCTTTTTAATAAAGGCCTTTAGGCAGTTGAAGGTTTGTTCGATAGGATTGAGATCCGGTAAGTACGGCGGCAAGTACTCGAGTTAGTAACTAGCTAACAATATCGCATCTCTAACTTCTAAACTATAGTAGATACTAGCATTGTCTATTATAAAGATTATCGGCGGATAGCCTTCGAGCGTAGGTATAACTCTCTCGGTTAGCTAGTTAATAAAGATCTCTCGAGTAATTAAGCCTTATCGACTTATCGTATATAGTAGATAACTATTAATAGTAAAAGCCGGCAGTATCGACTAGCGGACCTTACGTTAAGCGTACCTAAAGTCGCGGCAATCTACGCCCTTTAGAGACTATCTATACTTGCGCTAACTAGTCTTCTAATTATAGGCCGTCTCGTCGATAAAGATTAACCTATCTACCGGCTATTTAGCGCACCTAAATATCTATAAAGCCCTTAGCAACGGGTTACGCTCCTTCGCTATCTTACGACACGCTTTACGACTCTAGTTATGCTTCTTTAGCACTATCGACAACTGCTAATATTTCAACGTCTCCGCGAGCTCCGGCTACTCGTTAATTATAACCTCTATTATCTCTATAAAATAGGCGTTAGGACGAGTACCTAAGTATACTAGAATAAACGTCTCTTAAGCGTAGGTTAAGATCGTTAGTCTACTACGCTTTATTATATAAGGTAGATATAACTCGCTAAACAACTTCTAATTGTTAAGTAGTCGATATATCGTACGCCGATCGATAGGGAGCTTAGTATTCTTAATAGTCTAGTCGACATTGTTACCCTTTATAAAGCAGTCCTTAATTAGCTGCTAATGCGCCGGAGTAAGCTCTTTACCTAGCTATATGCTTATTATACCTCGGAAACGGCTATACTACTATTCTATAGCGACAACTTTAGCTTTAAAATAGACTAGTATACTATAAGGCAAGAGATAGAGAAGATAGGCACTTTGAAAGAGCTAGAATTAGTAGAAATTGGGTATAATGCTGCTCCTTGTCGCTTGGCGGCCCCTCTAGCCGGAAATGACAGGTATTTCCGGAACCTCAGTAAGTGGTTAGCTCTGTCTGTCTCGCCGGCTCAGAGGCCGCGTCCCCAGCACATTCTCTGCCTCAGGCACGATCTGGGCTCAAGTTGGCCAGGAACATTATTGGCTGAGATACGACGGAGACTAGTGGGTGGCCGTGGCAGCGGCCTCTCGACCAGCCGAACAACTTCAATAATCCCGCTGTGCATCGGTTCACGGAGCAGTGTTTCAACCGCATCTGAGAGGGTATCACAATTCTCCTCAGTAGATCAGAGTCTTGCTTCGCCTGAGTACAAATCCTGCATCAACGCCCTTGTCCACAACAGGCCGCATAGCTTTCTTAAGCTGCCACCCGACCATCACCATTCGCGTCACGCTCTCGGCACAGTCGATTAGAAGCCTTTCCGCCTGATTGATCGCGGTCTGCAAATTGCACGGAGCCTGAAGGATGCTCGCATACGCATCAATTCCCGCGGCATAGTTGCTCCTGGCTCCAACGCCAACTGTGCCAGCCAGAGCAATCACCGGCACGCCTTTGGCCTTCGCGATTCGTGCGACTTCCGCAGGTATCTTGCCTCGAGGCGTCTGCTCGTCTATTCCGCCTTCTGCGGTAATAACCATGTCACAGCCTTGTACGAGCTGCTGAATGTTCAAAAATTTGGTGATAATGTCAAATCGAGGATGAAGGTGCGCTCCGATCAACATAAGTCCTGCGCCCATTCCTCCTGATGCACCACTCCCTGGAGCGAGCGAAATGTCTTGGCCTACTTCTTTGCTAACAATGACAGATACGCGGTCCATGGCTTTGGACAGCAACTCCACCTCTTCAGGTGTCGCCCCCTTTTGAGGACCAAACACCCTCGCCACTCCCTTCGCTCCGCAGAGTACGTTGTACCAATTACAAGCGACATCAATTTGGACCTCCTTCAATCGTGGATGCAGGCCTGACAGGTCCGCTTTTGCAAGATCATGCAGTGAAGCTCCACCTCGGGCGCAAGGAAGTTCTTGACCAAGACTGTCGAAAAATCGTGCTCCCAATGCCTGAGCCATACCGATTCCGCCATCGCAGGTACCGGAGTCACCACAACCAAGAAGGATGTTGGTCGCTCCATCATCCAAAGCAGCGCCGATCAGCGAGCCAACTCCATACGTCGTAGTATGCAACGGATTGCGCCGGTCTCTTGGAATCAAGCTGAGGCCTGCAGCTGCCGCCATTTCAACTACCGCAGCTGGATTGCTAGAGCTGCCGAGGAAGCCGTAGTGCGATGAAACTGGTTTTCGGACGGGACCTGTCACTGTGATATGTCGGAGTGACCCACCGGTCGATTCGACCAAAGCCTTAGTGAAGCCCTCACCGCCGTCGACCTGCGCGACGACGCAAAGGATTAGCAGATATCTCGAGGAAATGTCGTGAGTAGATGACCCACCATTGGAGCTTTAGTGACAATGGCCTCTGGAACGGCTCTGAGTACACCGACTTCGATGCAGTCGGCCACCTGGCCAGGCTGGAGACTCTCTTTGAACCCAGAAGGGCAGATCAAGATACGAGGCTGATGAACCTCCTGAACTCGCCTGGGACGGTCGGCTGGAGTGGTCGGATTACTCATGATAATGATGCTGAAAAGCCTAGGCACGTGTGTGACGAGTTTGTTTCGCGAGTGGGAAAACACTATGATCTTTGAAGCTACAGTAAAGTCAGAACGATCACGATCATGTTTGCAAGCGAATGATGTTTGCTCTCAAGCTGGATGCTGATCTACAAGATGTATCTTGCTTCACCTGGCGACGACTGAGGTGCTTATATCATTTCCACTGAGTCTCCGATCGTGGTGTGACCCAGTACTTGCAAGATGCTGGGAGCGATAGCACAGCCTGAGGTGCATACGAGTTCGAACATCGCTGCGCCACATAGCGATGAATACGCCTACAAAGTCAGTTCAGCACACGACAGCTTGCGGTGGCCTGTAGCTTTGTTAGATCAAAGACCCATCCTCGGAATTGGAACAGTCTTTTCGGCTTGGCATAGATGGTCGACCAAGAGATGAAGCGAGCGCACTTCTTTCTGTGAGTCAAAAATAGGAAGGCGCAGAACGTGCTATGTCCATTATTCGATATGCTGTTCTGCAATATTATTGCAGCACCTGTTGTGACTGGGTGTATGAAGATGGTGAAGGCTGGCCCGGTCCGCTTGTGCGGTGGCATGGTCGACTCAACAGTATCCTTCAATAGTCCTGCCCTTTACCGATACAGCCTCGCCTGCGCTGCTACCTGGCGAGCCATTATGACCACACATTACTAGATACCATCCTCAGAGCCACGTGCTACCTAGGACGTCGTGCTAGTCTTCCCGGTGACAGATCCTCCACATTCGGTATCGTGGCCGACCGCTAGATTCGGAGAAGTCCAACTCTTCGGGAGTGGGTCGGTGGAAAGAGCCAAGATCTTTGCAGACTTTGCAGACTCAATATATATATATTGGTGCAAGTCGCGTGACCGCCTGAGCAGCTTTCAAGCGCCGCGGGAGCAGAGTTACATCCGCTGTCGTGTTGACGGTGGTGATTCGTTGCAAGTCGTAAATTCGCATTCGTTCGGAAAGATTGCGTCTCATTCCGGTGCCACTTCGGCCACTGTCGCTCGAGGCTCGGCTTTAAGTGCTGCATCCAGGCTCTGCGTCGGTATTAGCGTGACGCCGCCTGCTTGTTCTGGTTGCAGTTGCTCCCGGCATTGCTGAAGCATGCTCTCCATCCATTGCTCCTCCTCGACCTTCAGCTTCATTTGTTTTCGAGCCATCTTTGAGCGCTTGACTTTGATGCCTGGGGCTCCAATCGGACCCATCACTGGACTTGCGGGAAGAGAAGTCGCTGGGCTGGCAGGATCAGGCGTACTCACTTGTGAGATGAGTGCATCCAGCTCCAAACATTGGCGAATGAGTTCCTCGACTCCATCTCTGGTGGCGACAGCTTTTGGCTGCATAAGCTCGAAGAAATTGTCCCCAAACAGATCGTCCTCTCCGACAGCTCTCATTAGAGAATCCAGAAAGAACATGAATGATGGTAAGGTGGGTCCTTCGATGGTGAAAGGGTAGTGTACGTCGCTCAATAGGCAGGCGGCATACAGTAGTCTGATGGAGAATTCGCTGTCGAGAGAGTGATCAACAACACAAGCGGGACAGCCTTGGGTGTAGCACCATTTTCTTTCTTTTTCTGACGACAGGAAACATTGAAGCCAGACAAACGCGCCGCGAGCTTGTCCTGTAAAGGCGTATTCGAGGTCTTCGAGGTTCGTAGCATGTGTGGCACCAGCGGCGGCAGCACAAGCTTTGTCGAACAGCTCCACGATAGGTACAAGAAGAGCGTGCAGAACATCGCGTGTAATGAGCCAGCGATCCAGATTCTCGAGATGAGCAGGAGTGTGCTTGTCGCATAGTCTGTGCCATGCTGTCAGTCGCGAAGCCCATGTGCAGGGAGGAATTGACCCACTCGTATTTGTAGTGCTGTGCAAGATGGGATCGCAATATGCTGAAGCCGTCGCTTTGAGACAACAGCTCTACATCGTTCGACTCGAGGAGGAAGGGCGAGGCGTTTGGCGTGGTGATGTGGAGCATGTTGCGTGAAGGCTTGGTGTCGCGTGCAGTTTGTTCTCTCGTCGCGCTCGATGTCTTGCTCCCTTTCCACAACGACATTGCAGATCGAGGTCTGGTGTTATTTCCTACTTCGATCGCATATCGGACCGTCTTGTGGCCAAAGTAAGCGGCAAATCGGCGCTTTTGCGGGGCCAGCGAAGGCAGGCGAAGCCAAGGTAGTTCTAGGGTGTTGATTCTCGCAGCGACCAGCTGAACAGCTCCAGACTTTGTATCTTCTGCAACGTAGCGGAGGAGGCGGCGGCGACATGTGAAGAGCTAAGAGCAGGTCCCACTGCCCGTGCGCCGCTAGCTGGGCGTAAGAAGCAATGCAAAGCACAACATGGGGCTGCCCCACGGCCGTCACGGTTGTCTGGGATGGCGCGGCGGCGGCGGCGGCATGTGAACGGAGCGGCATGTGAAGGGAAGGGAAGGGAAGGGAGGGCCAGGCAGATCAGGTGGTCAGCAAGACAGGAGCAGACTTCTGCGCCTTGGCTTTGCTTTGGCTCACGCTCACGCCAGAAAGGCTATGGAAGCCGCGCAATCCTGGCTGCTCCACTTGACCAGTAAAGTAAGAGTCTGTTTAGGAGACGGCCGTCCGCAATGATTATCCGGGGTTCCATCAGTCCACTTCACCCCTCGCCTGCGCTCGGGGGATTAAGCCATACGCAAAATCGGGATTTGTTAGTAGGCTATACGCAAAACTCGATTAAACGTACATTATAACGTATATATAATAGGAAGCTAAGTATAAGTGCGATTATAGTTAAGAAGCAGTAGATTTCCGGCATATTAACGACTAAATTGCGACGGTATACGGTTACGTATATAGTTAAAATAGACCTATACTCGGCCTCCGCGTATACCTCGTATTAACTATATAGTTAATTACCTTATAAGTCGGCCTATATATCTATTATATAATTGCTATCTTTTCTTATTAGCTAAATAGCTAACTACTATATCTACTGTCTACCTCTTTAAGCTTAATAGGGTTGCTCTTACTACTAGCAATTATAATAGCGCCTCTATAACGGTTAGACTTCTTCGAAGCTTCGTAGAAATAGCGCTTACTTTATATAGACTTATAGCAGCGGCGAGGAGGTACTAAATAAGGCTAAATTATAGTATATACTATATCTTCGTTAAGTAGCGCCTCGTCTTATTATAGCTAGTCTAATCGTGTATTAGGCTCTTATACGAATAGGCTATTTAGTCGTCGCCTTAGCTTAATAGTTTATACTAGAATATCGCCTTCTTCGTAGTTATAAGTACGAGTCGGTAGTTCTAGTATCCTTATCGGACTCTACGTATATACTACATCGCCGCCCTCGGTAGAGTAAGCAGAGCGCCTATAGAAGTAGATATCCTTAGTATATAGATCGCTAGTCTTTTTTAATATAAGGTTATTATTTAAAGTAAGAAGTCGCTTATCGAAGACTCGTCGTAGCGGCTTATCGATAGCCTACAATTTAACGTCTATCTACTTAGTCTTACTATTATTATTAAATACGACTCGGAATACCTTACTATACTTAAGTCGATAGGTGCGTGCCTTATTATATGCACTCTATGCCTCTTAGAGCATCTTCCGGCGGTCGTTATTAGCTAGGTCCTTATCTTATTATATAAGTTGTAACTACAATTTATCTGCCTCGATAGTACCTACTCTTATAAGCTAATTAGGTTGCTCCTTCTAGCGCTTCTTTATACGCTTAACTAGACTCGTAGACTAGTATTTACGCTTATATTCCTCGCCTTTATAAATAGCGGCGCTAACTAATATCTCGTAGGCTCTTTTAGCGTCCTTTATAAGCGACGAGGAAAAGGGGTTAAATATTAATAATAGGTCGATATTTTCTAGAGCTAGTTTTAGATAATAACGTCGGAAGCTCTTACGAGCTTATATAGCCTTACGAGACGCTCTAATCTTCCGAGGGCTCGTTATCGTAGTAAGAAGCTAGTCCGGCAACTTAGGGGTAGGTGTCCGCTATAGTAGTAGTAGTAACGATAGCATGCCCTAAGCAATTACGTTTTTAAGGTCCTATAAGTAAGAGCGATTATTAGCGAGATACTAGCTATTAGGATCGACAATAGTAGGCTCTACTAAACGCTCTTACTTAACCGACGCTAAGTGCTCCTACTAAGCGGCCTCCGCTATTACTAGAGATTCCTCGTATTAGGCTTCTTCCTATTAGAGCTTACTCTCGATTGCTTGCTAGTTCTAGTTATAGTTAGTAGCCCTATACTAATCTCGAATATACTTGTAAGGGACCTCCCTATCTACTAGGAATATACCTATCTTACGAAACGCCGCCCTTATATTATGCCTCGTAAAAGTCTTTACCCGGATAGCTAAGAGCGCCTATATAAACTTAGGTATACTAAATTTACTAACACTACGATATATAGCTTCTAAGACCGCTTGCCTGTGCCTTAACTTATATATCTAGAATAGTATAACGTTAAGAAGTTGTATAAAGTGCGAAGTGTATAGTTATAGACCCTATAATTAAATCTTATAGCGCTTTGCAAAGGTAGCGAATTCTTTAAAGCAGTAGGAGCCGTAATTGTCGCATAATAGCACCCTCTACTTATTCGGATTATTAGGTCTCGTCTTCTGTTTAAACTAGCGGATATAGTATATAGCAGTATCGTCTATTATATAGCTAGAGTCGTTAATAGTAATTAGGAAGTTATCTTTGCCTATTATTATTAGTAGGTAATATTGTTCTTGCCTAAGGCAATAGTAATAGACTAATCTTCTTTAGGGACCTAACGCTCTTAAACTATTACTGCTTTAATAATTAACTAATAGTCTATTACCTTACTATAGGTATTAACGCTCTCGACGATAGTAATATATGTCTAGTTACTATTATACTTAGTCTACGCGCGCCGCTTTGTATCTATTATAACGACGTACTCGTTACTACTAATACCGACTCGAAATCCGGTTTTATCGAAATTCTATATATTCCGCGGCTTTATATTTAGTCGCTTTAGCATCGCCTTAAACCTATTAAACTAGCTCTTTATAGTAGAAGAGTCGTGCGCCTCCTTACGCTATATTTTAATAGATTTAGACTTAACCTTACTAAGTCTATAGCGACTAAGAAAGCAGTCCGCCTAATCTACGCTAAATAGTACGATTATATCCTTCGGTACCCCTTCTAGTAGCATACTAACTATTATTTCTATCGCTATAATAGCGACTAACGCTACTAGTAAGAATATATCTATCTCGTCCCTTTCTTAATAATAATCCGCTAGCGCTAGTTCCTAAGATCTATCTAGCTTAGTGTTTGTTACGTTACGCGATATTAGCGATCTACGACCTCTTAACTACTAGTAAATACGATAATATAGGTCCGCTATCTTCTTACTCTTATAAAGCGCTCGAAGGCTAACTTTTAACGATTTAGCTTCTAATTCGCGGTACTTCGAAACTACTCGATCTACTACCCTCTCCGCCCTCTCTATCTCTATTAATCGCTCGGCGCGCACTCTTTTAATAACCTTTCTAATCTTCTTACGCCCTATACCGACAAATAGGTACTATATATATACTAGAAGAAAAAGAATACGAAGAATACGCGTTTGGAATAAGGTAGACGCGCCTACTAAGGAGGCTAAGGAGATTATATAAGAAATAGCGGTAGCGAGGTCTACGGTTACTATATACTCGGATAACCTCGCTAATATAATATTTAGACTAGCAGTTCGATACTTCATATACCTAGATATCTATATAGGACTAGAAGGTGCGACTATATCGAGTTTTACGTATAGCCTACTAACAAATCGCGATTTTGCGTATGGCTCAAACCCCCGCGACCGCGGGGTGGAGTGCTTTGACGAAACCCCGGATATCAGGTCCAGAGCTTCCGAGCCAACTTCTATTCGACGCCTGCCTTTCTAGCAGTACCACAGAAACCTCACATTCCTCCGGCACTTTCAAGCTTGACACACGCAATCGGTCGGCTTCAGCCCGATGCTGCTGTAGAAGAGGTCCACGCACATCCTAGCTGCGTTCTGCTGTTCATCAGGTATCATGCGAAACGCGTGAGCCATTTCTTCCCAGGAATGCCTCGCCGGAACACTTCCGCCTGGCCTCAATTTCGGATCACGAGCACGAAGGAGGAGGAGTCTTTCGCAACATCTCCGCCCGTACCGGAGAGCATTATTGTTTATTGTGCTTGGGGAAGAGTGGGATATGCAAACCATGCGTCGCCCAGTGAACCGCGAACTCTGCTCCTCCTGAGCTCGACAGTGCCACCACCCGTGACCACCGCTTCGAAGTCATCCCACGTTTACTTGAAGAGTGTGTGTGTAGGCTATCACGTGCATGATGCCTGAGGCTGCAACTGTGCACACTTCATCTTTGGGCTTTCTGTAGATTAGCCCTCTTCTGAATACATTACAGTTTATATCAAGTAGTTATAAGCCCCCTACGTTTCTAACGCATACAATACGTTTAATAAGTATTCTAATAGTTACTCCGACTGCTACGTAGCTAGCGCTCGTTACTAATAATTGCGCTAATACCGATATTATCGCCGCTACCCTCGCCGCCCTCGAGTGTTCTAGCAGGTGCTAGACTTAAGTCGGTTACTATTAGTGTTAGCTGTCCGCTATACCCGTTCGTTAGCTGTCCGCTATACTAAAAAAACATAGGCGCGCCTATCGGCTGCCTCTTAAGATTATCGCCGTCGCTATCCGTAATAGCTCCCCCTACAACTACTAACGCTTATATAAGCAATATTCCTAAGCTAAAGAATAAGGAGAATTATCTAGTATAGGCCTACGCCGCTAAAGGCGCCCTTAAAGGTATGTCGGTCTAGCGCTATATATAAGGCACCCGCTAGCGACCCCTTACTAAGGCATCTAGTAAGACTTCTAAAGAGTTTAAAGACCGCTAAGATAAATAGGACTCCAAAGATCAAACAGTACGTACCTAGATCTTTGCTAATTGTATTAGTAACATTTAATAATTACTACTTAGTCTGTCTATATCCTAGGAAGTATAGGACTTCCTTAAGAAGAAATATACTAGTAAAGGTAGGTCTACTAAATTTATGCTCTACTAGGAATATATTACCCTTCGGTATAATAGTAAGGACATTAAGAAGTTCTATAATAAGTATAAGAAGAAGCTCGGTGCCTTAAAGGACACTAAATTAGCTATTAGCTAATATTAGGCTGTCTATATGTTTATTATGCAAATTGCACCGTTCTACGAGACTTTCGTATAGATGCGCTATAAGCAAATGCGCGCCTTAGAATACACTATTAATAATAGCACCCTTAACAATATTATTAGCGCGTTACTTAATAAGAATATAGCTTAACTAAACTAGGCCTAATATAGTAGCTTCTTCGGTCTTTAACGCTAACTATAATAGCAAGATAGCAATAGCAATAATAACGGTCGAGGTAACTCGAACCGTAGCAGTCGTAGTAGTCGCGGAAACAGTAGCAATAGTCGAGGCCGCGGTAGAAGTAACTAGAATTAGAATAGTTACTAGTCTAACCGTAAGAAGTGCTTATACTATTAAGGCACTTACCCTTCCGACCGCTGCTATACTAAATACCCTTATCTAAAGGAGGAAGACCGACTGCGTCGTAAACAGCAGAAGGCTAAGAAGAAGGGGGTGTAGCAATAGTAGCAGCGTAGACTAACTGCTTAGTAACAGCAGCCGCCGCTATCTAGTTAGAATAGTACTTAGGGGCTGTATGCGGCTAATGCTACCCCGGGGGTGTTATTAGACCCAAACTACAATTACGCCTTTACTGCAAGCGCTACTATAGTTACTATTAGCGACTAGGTTTCTACGGCTCTTACTGCTAGCACTCGTACTACTAATTAGGTTGTCGACTTAGGTACTAGCATGCACATAGTTAACGACCCTTTATTGCTTATTAAATATAAAGGCTGTTACATTCCTGTCCGGTTTAGTAGCAATACGAAGCACGCTACGATAGTCGGAATGGCTTAGACTAAGGTTGTTAATAAGCGTAGTATAAGCAACATAAAGTTGTTTAATATACTATATATTCTAGGTCTGGCAGCTAACCTTCTGTCTACTAAGAAGCTTGCCGATAAGGGCTGTTTCTATCGGAATAATAAGCGAGTGCTATTGTTATAGTTCGAAACGTGGTTTTAAAGTGTGTTGATTTATGTCATGTCTATCTAGCTACGGAGGAAGTATGCCTATAAGGCGGCTAGTAGCAGCCGCCTAGGTGTCCCTTCCCTCCTAGCTTCGTAACAAAATCCCCCGGTCGCGAAATGTCCGCGACTACGTAGACCATACCTATAATAGACTTATAATACTATCGTATTCTCGTATAGGTGTGCTAACTATGCTTAATAGACTAACCGTCGTCTACTATAGAGTCTCCGTCTAGGTTTTAATAACTTGCGCGTTACGCGTCGCCTACTCGGCTATAATCGAGTAGTTTTAGGTTACTAATTCTAAGCCTTTAGCCGCTGCCTAGCGCTCTAGGAATCTAATAGCATTCTTCCTATATATAATATATAGGGCGTTAAAGGCGGTAGCGATAAATATACCGACACGGGCGCGGTCTTCCTCTTTTCCTAACTAGATTGATCTAGCGAGCTCGGCTATAATATCCGTAAGGGAGTCGTAGGTAAGTCTAGTAGCCTAGTCCTATAGCAATTCCTGTATCGCCCGAATCGCGGCTTTCTCGGAATTGGCTTTAGTATTAGAGCGTTAGATCGCGTCTATCGCCTATAGTAGACGAAGGGTAGACTATTCTACGTCTTCCTTAACCGTACTGTCCGTGTTCTAGAAATAGGAGAGTTCTAGTACGTAGTTAACAACGTCCTCTATGTCGGCAAGCTTTCCGTTCTATTCTTCTAAATTCTCGTTATCCTAGTCGATATTGTCTTTAGTATAGGCTATAATATCGTCGCGAATTTCCTTAGGAAGGACGTTATAGGCTTAGAGGAATTTCTTTGCGATAGATATAGCGTAGTCGTATAAGGCTCTCTCGTCTTCTAATAACTACTCGCGAGACTCCCCGTCCTTAACGTAATTCTATTCCTTTGTTACCGCTGCGACTATATAGGCGAGGACTCCTACGAACATTTGCAACTCTTTCGGCTCGCTTCCTAGCTACTATTTCCTAGTAAGCTCTACTAGGGCGATTTAGACGAATAAGCTACTCTAGCCTTTATCGCGAAGGATATTAATAGGGAGTTAGGATTTGCTCTTGTCTATATTAGCGATAGATATAGGGTTAGTAGCAATAGCGATGTCGTTATCGGCGGCGCCGGAGGTAGCGGCGGTAGCTATAGGGTTAGCGACTATAGCAGCGCTAGGGGTGCTAGCCGTAGGGATAACGACTATAGCAGCGCTAGGGGTGCCCGCTTTGCCTCTATCTAAGCTATCTAGTCCTACTAAGATTCTTATACTCGCTATCTTACGGGGGTCGGATTAAGGTATAGCGAGCATCTCCTTAGTAGACACAATATAGCCGCGCCTATTAGGGACGCCTACCTAACCGGCGTTGTCCTTAAGTTCCCTACCTAGGAAGCGGATTAACTACTTAGCTTACTTATCGTACTTATAGTGTCCGACGTAAAGGATTTTTCTAGTCTTATCGTTAATACGTAGGAGAATAACTACCTATATCTAGTGCCGTAATACCGCCGCCTTTAGTAGTATAGGAACTGCCGCTATTAGGAAATCGTCTATCGGGGCTAGGAGGTCGGTCTAACCGCCTTCGACTACTTCCTTAATCTGTTATAGGGAATAGCTAAGTATATATACCGACTAGTCGCCGAAAATCTTTATATCTACGGCTTTCTCGGATACGGGAATATCCCGAAGATATTCCTCCTAGGGAAAGACTTCGTCGTTCTTTAATCCCGCTATAAACGATCGTATCTTCTTAGCTAGCTCCGTAGTATCGAAGTAGGCGTTAAAGCAGTTATAGTTAAACTTCCTCGCTGTCTCCGCGATATAGTTTAGATACTATTACTACTCTTAGTTAGGGAACATTGCGATAATTACGTATCCTGCCTCTATTATAAGTTCCGTTATACTCGCTACGCGACGAACGAAATCCATTTCCTAGGTCTTAGATAGACGTAGACCGTCGCCGTAGAGGGTTCGGCCGCTATAAGCCTTATGCAAAACGTCGAATAGGCGTACAAATCTATAGCGCCCGAATAGAAGCCGGAACGTTAGGTCTATAAAGAGGCCCCTTAGAGCAATACCGCTGTCTCCTAGCGTAGGCGGGTCGCGCGCGTCGATCGGAGGATCCGCGGTGCTTGTCTTAGCCTTCCTAGCTAATTTTCGCTTGCTAGAGGCTTTGCTAGTACCTAACTATTCTAGCTAGGTAGACGAAGGGTCCCGGTCGCACGCGTCGATCGGAGGATCCGCGCTGCTTATCTTAGCCTTCTTAGCTAATTTCCCCTTACTAGAGGCTTTGCTAGCACCTAACTGTTCTAGCTAGGTAGACGAAGGGTCCTAAGTAGTAGTCTGCGTAGCCTCGTCTTTAGCGGCGGCAATCCGCTTTGCCTTCGCGTACGGAGATTTAGCTACTATAGTCGTAGTTGCTATTATAGATTTTAGCTTCTTTAGAGTCGGCGCCTCGTCGGCGGTAGGTGCTTTGCGCTTCTTAGTAGCAGCCGCTAGTAGTTTGCGCTTAGCCGCTTTTGCTTCTACTTTAGCGGCCTTTGCGGCGGCCTCGCTAGCTTTCTTCTCCTCGCGGTACTTCTACTCGATTGCGTCTAATTTCTTTAACACTTTAGCTTTAAGCTTCTCCTTTTCCTTTATATACAAAGGGAAGGGTAGTGTCTCTAGCCGTACGCCTCTATCGGTTGTTACCTCTCGGGATTTTAGCGTATAGTAGCTTACGGGAATGTCCTAGAAGATAAGGCCCTTAGTAGCCGGTACGAGACTGAATATTAAGTCTATTAGCAACGCGCGTAGGCCTAGAGGGAACCGTCCTAGCTATAGCTAGAAATTTTGGATTATGCGGCAGAAATCTTATTCGATATCGCCCTAGGCTAACTGCTATATCTAATTCTTAGCGAGTTCGGCGATTAGCTATATATACGTAGATCGCTATATTAATAGGAGCTTACCCTTAAGTACGGCGGGCTTCGACTAGTCTAGGGTATCGGGGCACTCCTCGCCGGTTATATCGAAGATAGCCTTAAGGTACTCCGCGATCCTACTAGGCTCGCTTTCGGCGTTTAGTAGCAGGCTAATGCTATCGGAGAAAAGTCCGATAAAGCAGTTTTTAGCCTCCTTGTATGTCTTAAGGCAGGTCTAGCCTTCGGTTGTCTAGTATACTAGGGCGACGTAGGCTAGCGCCGTTTCGGATATCTTCTCCTAATAGAGCTCCTTAAAGAGGTCGGCGTAT